GGACAGATCACCACAGCAAGGTGACAGAGACACACAGGACAACTATGCACACATTCAATTACATCTACAGCCAAATTACAGATAATTCACACAAACTCAATGCAAACATCCTTGCTATAAGGCAGCAGTGCTAATATCTGCAGCACAATGCTGCTTGGTACAAAACTTAATAAAAAATATTTTATTTCTTTATTTTAACAGAAATAAAATGCAATAAAAAAAAGAAAACTTCTTTTTATAATTTCTATGGTTATACAATATGAGGCATTATATCTGTCATTAAACTGCAATATCATGTCTGTCTGATTAGCAAAGTAGACCTAACTATGAATTTATATAGATGAGTCAAGGCAAAAGATTCACATACACCGTACACTGCATGCAAAGATTGATATTTATTACAGTCTAAGATTAATTCAAACATATTTTTCTCCCAGATGTCTGAAGGGTCTTATTCATCTAATCACTAAAGAGACATGCAAAATTTATGTATCCATCTAAGAACAAGGAACTTTTGTCTAGATTCAATGTAGCTGCTAAGAGGGTTGTAATGATCAACAGTGAAACTATTTATATACTAATAAGGGCTGAAAGGTCACTCTTTGGTGAGGAAGCAATAACTCCGACAGCAACACAAAAAGCCTGATTATTGATTCAAAATTCCAAATGCAAAAAACAAATGCATGTTGTTTTTTTCTGACATGCTGTCTAATCTGCTGAAATAATTAACATTGTCATGCGGTGTGGATGTTTTGCTGCAAAGGATTAACAAAGATAATCTTAACAATGTAATGAGGCAAAATTTCAAGACATTATTTTGAACTGTAAACGAAAAGAAAAATGCAAGTTGGTACTAAGTTACTTAAGAACAACAAAATAATGTGTAGGAATAGAAATCACACATACAAAAAAATAATTAAATAAACAAATAAAGATCTGGGTAGAGACTAAGCAATGTGAGTACAGGGCTTGACTCAGAATCATAATAAATCTTTCAGGAGAAGCTTGGTTAAGGATGTCAACAACCTTTGGCCTGACTAAAATGGCAGTTCTGATAAACAAACAAATGTATGTATTCTTTCAAAATAAACCACAAAAATACCAAAACTTTATTCCTTACATAAAAAATGCTGGAATGTTAATGGACCTTAAAAATACTCTTTTAAACTGTAAAAAATTTGCTTCAACTGTGTCCGTGGATCCAAATATAATAGTTTCATTGAAGTAACGGAAATTGGGAAATATATCTATTTTAACCTTAAACAAAACAAACATGAACTCGAGTAACTTTTGGTTGCTGATATGGAGGAAAGGTCCCTCCTCTTTCTCATGCTATCCCAGCAACCAATCAGCATCCAGCCGGTAATATTCACACTCAGGGGAAGGGGGGTTGGTTCTTTTCACTTAAAATATACATTTCCAAGCGTTTAATGGAAAAAAAGTAATCCTTGAAACATACATTCTGTCAAAAATTAATTGAACGGTTAAATTTTTTTTTAAATATGTTTTCTCAACATTTTATCGAGTGTCGATAGCTGTAGTTCCTTGTACTGAACACACGGGGGCGCACTTGGAACATAACCCCACCGTCTGTTTTCAATGAACATTTTCTTATTCGGTTCTTTCACCGTCAGTTACACTTAAAAAAAAAAACGTTTACATTTGGATAACTTGCGAATAAAGTTCCAAGAAATACGATTTAGAAAAGAAATAACAATGCTTGAAATAATAATAACAAAAGACACGTAGGGAGGGCCGGTAGGAGGAGAAAACTGACAGTTAAAGGAGGTCGAGCCTTTACAACGTCGATATGAGGTTGCGCTATTAAAAAGGCATAGCCCGTAAAGTTCTACAGACCCGTCGCTGAAGACAGGATTCCGCCCACAAGAAAGATGGCGGCTCCCTTGCTGGAGAAACTGTCGGAGTCTCTAGGTTCGCCGGAGCCAGCCGTTCGCCTCATATTATCGGTGTTAATCGGTGAGTTTGCAGTGACTTTGTTAGCCATGAAGGCTGACAGCAGTGACTAACTGCTGCTCTGTGTTACTGTTAGTGTCAGCTAACTCAGCCAGGCAGCTTTAAAATGCAAACCAGCTTCTATGTATGTGGCAAAATAAAATATATTATTTAAAGTAAATACACATCCTCATAAGCTTAATATCAACGTGGCTAGGAGTACAAGTATGTTCAGCTGAAGGCGACTGATTCACTATTAAGAAAGGTACATTCACTTTGCAGTAGCAGACTTCTGAAATAGAGCTGACCACAGTTTGGTTTAACTGCCTGTGGTTTCAGTGGGTTTCTGTGGCTAAGATGTGCTGTTAGAACCTGCTAGCTACCCAAACAAGCCCACCAGTTTAAGCCCTGTGGAGGTCAGAATCTGCCACAGTTCAATTACTTTGGATTAAAATAAAACAGCTTGGAAATGTATTGCTAATTTCTGTATTGTGATGAATTAAAATATTATCCAAAAGTCACTATAAAGTTGAAATTTAAATTCATAAATGCAACACGTGCTGTGTAGATGTATTACATACACTGAGGTGGTTTTTCAGATGTTTGTTTTATAATAATAGAATAAAGCTGATGACAAACCTACATTATTTTTCTCAGAAATTGTCTGAGAAAAAGAAAATAAACACGTTTTTGTTACAAAAATTGGAAAATTTAAAAGTATTTGCAGGATCTTCATTCTTGGGCTGCTTTTACCAAATTGCAGCATTAGTGCAGGAGGCATAAGGGAAACCAGCCTTTTCCTCTGCTCTGAAGAAGCCCACATTGTGGTCTTCAGTTTGTTTGCCTTCTTGTGGACTGTTTAGCATAGATTCTGTGTAGGATTTAGGTCAAGGCAGGTTTATGGCCATCTGTGATGTATTGGTCATAAAACTAGGCCTGGGTACTTTGACAGTGTGGTCTCCCACCTGTTTTTGGACTTGATACAACACAGCTAGATGTAGATTCTTTTAAAATTTTAAAAATAGGAGGCCTTGGTTATAGCCATGTTGCTGGGGCACCTTTTCCTGCACCACTTTCTGTTCTCCCTTTTAGCTTTTCATTTATATGCTTGAAAACAGGAGCCACCATACAATATTTTACTTTTACAATATTGTATGCTGGCTATACTTTTACTAAAGAATTATATTTTAAATGTCATTAGCTTGATGAGTAAATAATAATTATTAGCAGTAGTATAAGTGTTTACTCAAAGAAATGATCAATTATTGATTTATTTATTTATTTATTTTTACAGAAAATAATTTTATAATCAAACATGGACTCATAAATTCTGCTTGCTTGTTTTTTTTATTGATTTGTAACTTTTATGACAGTTGTATATATCTGGAAGTCAGAGCTTTGATGTAGGGAATGTAATCCCACCAAAGTAATCAGCGTTTTAGTCGGCTTTTACAAACGAGGAAGGTGTTATCTGATGTGTTGTTAACTACTGACATTATTGCAAGTGGAAAACAATTTATTTCTATTTAATGCATCCAGACATCAGTGATGTTAGAAAAATATTGTTTTCCACCTGTTTAATTAGATTGAAACAGAAGTGCTAACATGCAGTGGCTCAAACCTGAAACTAGGGCTGAAACAATCCATTGGATTATACAATTAACGGTCAACTAATTTAGTAAGCGATTTATCGTTAACTGGAGTATTGAGGCTCTAAAACAGCCCCTTAGCTGACAGAGCAAAACTAATTATACCAAAATTGTATGATTAATAAATAAATATTCTATCTTTAAGATAAAATATGCTGTCGTCTGTCAATATGCTCTATCCAGAACTCCTCAAGTCAAATGTTTTAGTTTTAATTGGTTTAATTTTGTAAAGTCTTTTGATGGGGGAACCTTTTGCTATCAAAAAATAATCAACAGATTAAACGATTTGCAAAATAGTCGTTATTTGCAGCCCTACCTTAAACCTGTTCAGCCATCCTCTGATTGGCAACCATTGTGGATTTTTTACGAAGAGCTTGTTGTGGTTTTTCATATTTCCAAATATGAATTCCAACTATGCATTTTATTATTATTTCTGACTGGGAAATTTAAAACATCTGAACACCTAGTACAAGGAGAAAAAACCGATTCCTTATTAAGGTTAATAAATCTGATACAAGGGACTATTGATAAACCTTCAGTTTATATTATTTTATGGTGCACTGCAGTAATGAAACCATGGCATGTGAGCAAATACTAAAACTGTTACATAATAAAACAACTCTAAGGTTGTAAATTGAAATGCTGGGACAGGAAAACCATTCATCTGACTTCCCTTTAAAGCATACTTTACCTTTTGCTTTACCCTCAGACCTGCAGGTTTATTATAGGCTTATCACCCAGCCCTGATTTGGATACTTTGTGCTGCTGTACTATTTTGGCTATTTTTGTGTTCAGGCAAAGCACGGCATGTTGATGGGTTATGAAAACCCAGAGAGGCCTTCAGGGTTTTAACGCTTGTTATGTGGTTGCATTGGGAAACAATCCAGGTTTGTGAATGCAGCATGACTCATAGTAACCTCTCCTAAATGGGTTACAACTGTGGGCTGGGCTCTCTGAACTTTACTCCAGCTCATGGACCTGTTTAATTATCTCTGTACTTCTGCCTCTAATATTGTCTGAACATGGCCATTCAGATTAGATCTTGGTTGCGTTAAATTAAGTCATCCTCTTGGTTGCACTTGCTACACGTTGCTTCATACTTATTACATAGTTCGACCGTCATATTGTAACACCGATTTGCAGGAGTTCCTTCTCTGAGTGCTCCTGTAGTTTGGAGATTTTTAAAAATGTTTTTGCCCTTTTTTTTTGTCAAACTGAAATGTTTCAGATAAAAAAAAAAAGTTAATATCAGACACAAAATGCAGTTTTCAGATGACAAAATGGTTTATTAATTGGAATGAAAAAATAATGGCAACAAATACTAATGAGCGTTAATTTGTGTTGGCGTTACTAGGGCTGAATGATTCAACTAAAAATTTATTGCGATTACTTTTAACCGATGATGGAATCGCGGGTTTATTTTGTAAACAAGGGATAAAACGGAAAGGATTTTAATGTATTTTTATCAGAAAATACACTATTTAAACTGTAACACATTATATTTTAAATTTATAAACTAACTTTTTTTTACTTTTAACTATTTAAGCTAACTATTTTTGGGTGGGGAAAAACGTAATTTAGGTCTTTTTGACAAATTAAAATCGAGGGCGATGGTACGGACTGGGTAGTGACAGGCAGTGATCTGGGTGCTAGCTACAACTGTCTCTACCTTTCTGTTTGGCGATCAACTCGCCTTTAATGTTTTACCGCCACCTAAAGGGCCGGGGGGAGAAATTCAGTGTCTTACTTTCGTTAAATGTAATGTGAAAATTGCAATTTTTTTGTATTGTGATTATAATGAAAATAATTGCATTCATGTATGCATTCATGTTCTTCTTATCAATATTTATTTGATTTGAAGATTGATATAAAGAGAAGCCTGGGTGAGCTGTTGGGGCTCATGGGTGTTGGTGGAGACATCATGTGATCGGTGGAAAAAAAATGTCTTGAAAGTGAAAGTTAACCATGTCTGCATTTTCTGTTGTTTTTTTTCTCCAGGCGTAGTATCGGTATTGAATATTCTGAAAACAGTGGGGTATTCAAGTTTTGGTCGAATTCGAACATTAAGTGTGACCTAAAGAGGGGAAAAAAAGTTAGAAATCTCTATAGGATGGAAATACTTTTTCACAGCAGCACGCCTTTTGATTTAAATAGCTAGAGAAATCAAAGCTTTAGTGAGATTTTACTACATTTTCTTGAGAAAGAAATACCAGTCTTAATTTTTCCCTTCTTTTTTCCTTTCTCGTACAATAAGCTTGCAAGATGCTTTGTTTAATCAGTTGATTTAGTTCACACCAACTTTGATATTTGACAGTCCTTTTTATAGAAACAGTGCTCCCCTAATATGTAAATCTTGACATTCTAACTTCTCGTATATTTCTGTAACACTCACCTGACGTTTGTTTATTCAGCAGACTTTGGATCGTGTTCGATCCAATCAGATTCATTTATTCACCCCTTGGGGGGGGTTATTGTTAAATTGACGGCACCCTGATTATCAAGCAAGCCCACATTCCCTGATTAAGTTTACAGAGCTTCAAATAATCCATGTTTTGTGAAAAACAACCTTTACTCTGAACACAGAGAGATAACCTTTCCCTTTACAATGCAGCAACACATCACACACTCTCTTAGATGATTGCAATAGGCCTCAATGTGTGTATGTGCAGCGCTCCTCTCTACAAGGTCATAGATGTTGATATCAGCAGTCAACTGCAGTCCACTTGGCTGATGTAAAGACACACACTGTGGCCACACTAACATATTTTTGCTATGTGTTTTTCTCCTGCAGGGTATCCCTTTGCACTGGTGTACCGGTGGTTCCTCTTCTACCAGCCTTCCACAGTTATCCACTTGTTCCACATTTGTTCGGGGTTGGCACTAGCAGCATTTAACTTTGGTGAGATGAAGCACAATGTGTTTATGTGTTTATGTTTTCATGTATGATATAACTCATAATTTGCATCATTAAGGTGCATTTAAATGCAGTTCGGGTGAAGACATGCCGAAAAAACAATAAAAAAAACAGCATTTTAGTTGTCGACATTAATGCAGCATGGCAAAAACAAAAATTCTGTGAAGGACTAATGACTTTTATCAAGATCAATAGTGGTATCCCTAACAGTTCCTTTAGATTTACTAGAGCTACAGCAAAGGTTTCTTTATTTTAACCTCTGGCCACAATGCTGGATAAGGAGCCAGGTTTATTGTTCCACCACACAGTGAGCAGGATAAGTGAAGGAGGACAATCTCCAAAGATCACTGAAGTAATTAACAGAGATAGGTAAAGTATCAAATATCATACTTTAGTAAGAATAGTACTACTTCATATTTTTTCTCAAGTAAAAGTAAGAAATACCCTTCACGCAAGAGTAAAAAAGTTATTTGGTAAAAAGGCTATTCTACTAATAACGACTGATTTCACATTTTACAAAATGATGATTAAATAAATATTAAGTGATATGCAAAGTCTAGTGCTTCAAAGAATAAGATGGAAAAAACATAAAACATTAATTAAAGGATAAAAACAATTAGGTAAAATGAACGCTCTTCAAAATATATATATTTTTTATTACTTAACTTCATAAATCAATAGTTGCAGTATGTAAGAAAAGGTTAAATTACAGTTTACAGTATTTTTACTTATCCTCTATATGACAGCAGACGCAGCAGATGGAAAATAACATTTAACCAATGAGCCTTGATTGCAAAAAAAATAAGAAATTGTATCTCTCAAAGGTGCATTTTGTTTATAACAAGCTTATTTTAATTCTGTGAAATTACTCACAATGGATGTAGTACACTGACATTTTACTCTACTAAAAGTATTGATACTTTATTAACTTTTACTCAAGTCAAAGTAAAAAGTACAATGCTTAGAAAAACCCCTCAAAGTATTTTTCTTATGTCACTAAAGTTAATGTAACAGAGTAAAAGCATCTGGTTACTACCCACCTTTGGTAATAAAGTTCATTTGCAAGTCAGAAGTTTCACCGGATCAAGTCATCTATTACGTTTCTTTTTTTTTTTTTTGGTAGATGTTCCTACTTTGTCCTACCATTACAATTGTAAACACCTGGTATTTGGTAGAATTTGATATACTTTTTAAGCTAAAGTAATCGCACTTTGACAACAAACACTCTCTGTGGGATTGTGCCAAAACAAAGGATGATTAAGTGGAAAGGCACCTCTCCCATCATTAAGTAGGGTGGAGAATCTGTGATGCTATGGACCTGGTTTTCTGGCTACAAGCTCTGGAAGACTTGTTGAAGAGCATGGCATCATGAACTTTTTAAAATCCTAGGATTTGAATCTGGTAACGCTGCCAGAAAGCTAAAAGTAGGTCTGCATTGTGTCTGTAGGAAGGTCGGACACAGTTGTTTAAATCAGCACAGAACCATCTCAGTTCTCTGACCTAAATCATGTAGAAAATCTGTTGCGTGAGCTGAAGAGAGGACCAAGTACTTTGGATGATATAAAAGGCTTCTGTCTGTGTACCCTATCTAATATTATAAGAACTATTAACGTTTTATTAACATCCTATGGACACAATCTGATTTAGGCATTATTACTTTGGGAGATTTATTTTGTCACACTGTTAAAAACAAACCATAATACTGAGTAACTCCCAGATTCATCACTCATTGGACCTTTTTAACAGTTTACAGCCACAAAAATTCAAATAAATCCACATTTTGTCAAATCAGGCAATAAGAAGATTAAATTATGTCTTTTTGACTAAATGGAAACATTAGCAGCTATGATGTGAAAGATATTCTAAATAAAAAGTAAAGTAATTAAAGGTTTTAATGTTATTATTGTTGTCAAATATTCTGTTTGATAATTAACCTCTGCAATGGAAAATAATTTTATTTCTAGGCTTTTTTACACATCCGGATTGTGTAAAAAAGGATAAGCTATGCTTATTTTGTAAGAAGTTTGTTTCCGTGCTTGTGTTTGTATAAGTTTCTGCAATCAAAACAAGTTTAATGAATTTGCTGTTATTCTACAAACAGGTTTCTATTGATTCAAGCAAGTTTCTAAAATTGAGTTGTAGATTGATGACACTCTTTCTTACTTCCCCATTTCTTCCTTCCTCTGCTTCTTCACTGCTGGGCTTCTTGGTCTTCTTGAAGGAAATAAAAGGAGTTTTAGTCGACACGTTGACAAACTTATTATTCAGACGGCTGTATGTTTTTGAAAATGTGTTAAAGTCTAAAGACTGTTTCTGTCTTTTGCAGTTTTTTTAGTCTACTATCAGATAAAAGATGTAAAAAAGCAGCAGAAAAAGCAGCAGAATTTAAAAAGCCAAAGCCATACTGCTTAAAATTAATAAATTGGCTAGAATTCAAATGAGTAGTTGTGCTACAGTGATTTCATGACATTAGCTTTTATATGCTTTTCCTAAACTGTAATAAACAGATGAATATGAGCCATCTCAAATAAATATGAAGTCTCTACAGATTACAGTTTAATTTGTTTTCCTATTGTGGCTCCAAAATGTACGGCTCTCCCATAAAACCAATTAAAGATCCTTTAGAAATAATCATACTCAAGACTTAAAATTACATTAAATTTTTTACAATAATTAACTTTTATAACTTTGAACTTTTAAGTAAAATCCAGCAAGATATTTGGCATCAGTAAATTACTTTTATCACTCACATTTAAAGGGATCATAGAATGCAAAACAGAGTTTACATTGTCATAGATGAATAACGATAGTTCAGTGGGTGAAATGGACGTACAGAGAAGTTCAAACCCCATCGACGCCTCCTTCCTCTGCAAATCTCATAATTCTAAACTTCCACCATAAAACAGGCGAATCTAAACGAAGCCCCGAGTTGATGTCAGTGTGGGGATGTTGCCTTATTTGGTTCGGGCCTGTACTTTTGTCACATGCATTGATCTGGGTGCTAGCTACATCCCCTGCTGGCGAAATCCCAGAAATTCCCCCCGGACATTTTTTTTAGGTATGAAAAGTAGGACATGTCTGGAAAAGAAGGACGTCTGGTCACCCTACCATATCAACAGTTTGATGTTTCAGTAAGTGAATGCTTGATGCATCTTGATGATGCTCAGCAGCTTTGCTCTTTGTAAACCAACCAATCAGAGCACAGCTTATCTAAATATTCATGATCATACCATAAAAGGAAGCAAACCTGTCATTTCTTTCTGGGGCTTTTATCCAGGCTTGCATTAGGGCTCATAGACCACGAATATGCCATTTTCAGCCCAACCAATGTTGCACACCCTATTCAGAGACCTTAAGGACCATCTCCAAATACCCTATATAATCATTCTATGACCTCTTTAAGGTAATTCCCAATAAGCAGTTTGATTAACGTATGCATTTTTATTACTAATAGAATGAATAGGAATTAAGAAGTAAACAGCTGTTTTAAAGACTAAACTCAGTTATTTATATGTAGATATATGAGTGAGAATTATGTAGGATTATACAAAATGTTGGCAATAAGTAACAAAGGACCTTAGTGCTACATGCACCTATACTTCATTTTATTTATTGGCTGGTCTGAAATGTAATAATAAATAAATAAAAACATAGACACATGTTAATGAAAAACAAATAAAAACCAAAATACCAACTCATAAGACTTAAAATTTAGTCCAATCTGACTACCGCACTGTTCCTTTCAGTGAATCAGATACTTCTGCCAAAAGTTACCAGGCATCATCTGCAAGTGTAACTGTGTACAAAGCTGCTGCTTGACAAATCAGTTTATGCAACTTTACTTGATTTTAACTCAGAAAAAATCCAACTATTACTGCTGATTTCAATCTGAATCTCTCCATTTGGTAAAGTCTGATTCCATCTGTTTCTGCAAACCAGTCTCCCTGTTTATCATGTGGGTGAATCATCAACTTCTGTTTAGTCATTCCCGAGGAAGTGTATTAATTTCTCTTTGACTTTACCAGCAGGTTTGACCACAAGGAATGCATATCTAAATATTCAAGCCATTCAGGTTCGTTCTGTCATGGTCACCAACCCAAAAACAATTACAAACTAAAAAAGAAGCAAAAGACAGCCTAGCCATTCAAACTTCCAACTCTTTTAACTCAAGATCTAAAATCAATAGAACAGTAGGTAAACAAGCCTAGAATTTATGACATTATTAGAAATGGTGCTGCTCTAAAAACAACAATAAAGAAATAGTCTTATAGATTTGGTAGTGCAAGGTTATATAGTTTAAAAATGCATTTCATTCATTTCATAGCACCAATATCCTGACAATAATATCAGTTATATATTATGGAAATGGCAAATACATTTAGCTCCTAATTATAAGTGTATTCTACTAGATGGTTATACAAACATGTATGTATTTTTAAAACAAATGGGCTGAATATCTTGAAGGCCTCAACCTTATTCAGTTACGACACAAGTACTGATTGGTTCAAATATTATTGAACCAAGGGATGTGTGTGAAAAATAGTCCATCATTGCTTTTCACATATGATTTAGGTGGAAAAGTATCATCCAGTCACTGCTAATTAAATTTACTCTATTAACTTATCTCTAGCAATCAAGTGGCCATCCCCAAAGACATGTAATATTTGTTTGGAAAGGTTTCCTGGAAAAGAGTCATTCTTTTCTTTGCCAAGATGCACGTTATGGAGAAATGTCTTTTTAAACAAATTAAAAAGTTGCTGCGTGTGTGAAAAACTAGATGTTGCTTCTCAGCACAAGCTGTAGCAACACAAGCTGCAGCAGGACCTGTACGCTGTCTGCAATTGTAAAAACATCCACATATCAGAGTATCCGAGAAATAAACATAAGGGTTTCACATTGGAAGTTTGAATAAAAACTGGGCCTTAAGACAAAGAAGAGTTAAGAGGTGCAATTGTTGAGTTAAAGTCAAGAGCACAACCTAACTGAAATGCTTTGGTGGGACTTATGCAGAAGCAAATGCAAGCCAAACTGAGCTGAAGCAAAGTTGTAAAGGATGGACGCAACAAAAAAGGGGTTGATAAAGAAAAAATGAGCACTTCAAGATTATTTCTGCTGAATTGGTTCCACAAGCTGGTGCAAAATGGAACTCCTAGTTTTTTACACACCTCTGCACATATTAAGCTTCATCTTTGGTTAATGGTTATGATTTCAAGGGATAATTCAAGTGTGGGGTATTTCCTTCATCTCATGATATGTATGTAAAACACAACCTGAAACTGGGTGTAACAACTTTTTTCTTAAGATTAGATAAGTTTAACTTCTGAATAAATTTGCTTCTACTAAAGTCACAAATAATGAGTGACTGGGCCTCGCTTTGGTCAAGTGCCATGCTAAGTTAATTCTAACAATAAATGTTGATTTCTCTCTTCTTTCTTTTGTGGCTTCACTTGGATTTTACAGCAGGTCTGTAGCTTCTCTTCTTTTTTAAGAAAAATAAACTTCTTTCATGTTTGTGTCTTTGCCTCTCTGTCAGCTGATAACAAAGTGTGTTAAGAAAAACACTGTTGACGTTTTTAGTCCAGCAGGTCATAGTCGACTGCACTCACCTTCACCCCCCTTCTGTTGGTCTCCCTCCCAGGCTCCCAGCTCTATCACTCCGCAACATGCGTCTTCGTCCAATTTCTGATGCTGAGGCTCATGGGGAGGACGGTGACGGCCGTCCTGAGCAGTTTTACATTTCAAATGGTGAGTGTTTGCTTCCATCTCATTATTATGTGGCCTGATTGCTGGATTTGTGTCTTAAGTTTTATTTTTGGATGATTTGTAGTACATTAAAAAGCAAAAATCAAATCACTGCCCTTTTATTCTACGTGATCATATGATATTATAGAAATGCTTCTTCTTCCCCTCTTAATAAGGAGCTATTGCGAGAAGAAAAATACACAGCAGATGGTCATCTTAACTGTCTCAGAATGAGAAACTGGTTCAAAATGATAATGTGCTCTCTCTAGAGTTAGAAGAACCCCTATAGCTAAAATAGGCCAAAATGGTTGTTAGGAAAGTCAAATTTTTTGAGGTATTTTTATACCATGATTTATAATAAAGAGATTTTTTTCCACAGTAGAAAATATGACGAGTATACAGGGATGATAATGAACCAGTTTCCCAATTTTGATTTTATGAATTAGCTTAGTAATAAGTATTTCTACTTCCACCGCTCTTCTAAAATTAGATGAATACAACCTGAAGATTAAAAAAGAAAATTGCAAAAATCCTGAAATTAAACTTATGGGATTAAAAGTCTCGCTGGTCCCACAGGATCTAAAAGTCTGTCAATTATTATTAGTTAAATATGCTTGTTAAATAGCTAATGGGGATGCACTAGAAACCAGAAAAAAATACTTTTTAGGAATTGCAGACTATGTATGATATCACTTTAATGGGTGGTGCTTTGCTAACTTCCATTTGTGTAATGCAATACAACATTTTTCCAAAGAGCAAAACATATCAGTTTTAAATAAAAGGGGAAGCTCTTAGATCTGTCTTTGTTTTAGCTTACTGATAATGTTCAGCAACAGGTGGGGGAGGAGCAGATTTGTGCTACTTTGCTCTATTTTTTTCTTTTGTAGCAGGAAGAAATGCGGCACATTCCAGCCCTTCCCTTGGCATCTCATTCAATGGATTTATAAACAGCAGGACTGCTCTGATGAGTTTAGCAGGGTTTTTTTTTTTTTTTTGCAGGCATACCTTAATAAACAAACTGAGACCCAAACTGTTTGAAACCATAGAGTGCCAGGTCATCAACTGATTCACTCATGACTTTTTCACTATATTTCAAAATGTTGTTCAAAGGTGTCTTTCTTTTAAATGGTAAGGATGTGTGGGAGTCTTATTTGAGGCAGCTGACAGATGGGTGGTATGGCATTTATATAGCTTGAGAATTCTCCTGTCCCAAGCAGAACACCAGTTCTCTCCTTGAGCTTGCCGTAGTATTTTAAAATGCTTACTGTGAAGGTATCACTTTTCACTCCATGTTTTTCCCTCCCGCAGCTGTACCTGATGGCTGGGTATTACTACACAGCAACAGAGGAGTATGACATCAAGTGGACGATGCCTCATTGTGTCCTCACTCTTAAACTCATTGGTGAGCAGTTATCAGCCTAGCTGGCACTCAGCTAAATCTGGGTTTCCTTTGATTTGATATTTTCCTATGGATGCAAATGTCCTTCCTTTTGAATAAAGCCAACTCTGGGCAGCTTCGTTTAAATAGTCCCTAACAGTATCTGATTTTTGTGATTTACAGGTTTGGCATTTGACTTCTATGATGGAGGCAAAGATCCAGTGAGTGGACTGACTTGTTTTGGTTATATTTGGTCATTGAATTATTTATCTTATGGGTTTAACTTGCTGCACTTTGTTTGCTCTTGTCTTTGTATAATTTCCTGTTTTTCTTTGTGGTTATATAAAAAAAAAATCAGGAAGAGGAAATTCGAAAAAAAAAAAGAAGTGTTTGGAGTTTGTAACTAAAGATATGAAGCTTATCTGTGCAGCTGAACATTTTTTAGTGCATTGCTGTGATCATTTTTAAAAATGTTCTTTCTAAAACTAGGTTTTATATTTGTGAAATTTTTCGTTATAAATGTTAGAGCTCGGGAACATATATCATTTTTATACTTGAGCTTAATAGGGGAGTGGCGGCCTAGTGGTGGTTAGGGCATTGCACTTGGAATCAAGAGGTTTGAGTTCAAGCCCCACTCCCACGGACTGCCACTCTGGGTCCCTTAGCAAACACCCTTAACCCCACTCTGCTCCCCGGGGTCTGCTCAATGGCAGCCCACTACTCCCCAAGGGGATGAGGTTAAATGCACAGAGTTCATTTCGTTGCTCTGTACTTTTGACAGTGTAATGACAATAAAAGCTGGAAAAGGAAAAAAAGTTTATTAAAACTCAGCATAAACTCTTTTTTCCTAGATTTTTTTTTTCTCCCGTCACAAATTCACCATCACCTTTTCTGAGTTTTAGCATCTTATCCACTAAAATACATGAAGTCTGGATGCTTAGAGCAGTGAAAGCCAATCATAAGGCCAAGATGTCTTATTCATGTTGATAAACTTCTTCCATGGTGCTTAAAATATATGATCCTACCAAATATTTTTATAATATTTGGTGAACTATTTTTAGAAATAGTTTCTCAAATATTTATTTGGTGCAACTCAAATACAAAATGTATGTAGTAAATAGTGACACATATTTCTGTTAATCACCTGAAACGGCCCATTTCTAAAATAACTGAGAACAGGATGGCCTGCAATCCAGGCCATGAGAACAAAGGGCTTTTGTGTGGAGATGAGCTGGCCTGACCCGTTACTCTGAGCAAACCATGATGCTTTCCCTTGTGTAAATAAGTGTAATCTATATACAGATTTTTTTTAAACAATTTTTTTTCTACAGTGGATCAAATAAGTATTTAGTCAGCCTCTGATTATGTGGGCGAGAGGTCTAATTTTTGTCATAGGTACACTTCAGCTATGAGAGACAAAAAGATGCAGGATAGCTATGTTGGCAATGACAGAGGTCAAACATTTCCTCTTAAGTCTTCAGGTTTGCACTCTCTATAGCTGGTATGTTGGCCCATTCCACCATCAACTTTCCCCATAAATTTTCTATGGGTTGAAGTCTGGAGGCCTTGTTTTTCCTTTAACTGAGCTATGGTCCTATCCACTTTGCAGAAAAACTGCCCTAATGCGTCATGCTATCACCCCCATGCTTCACAGTACGCTTTGTGTTCTGGGGATGGAACTCCTCTTTCGTCTTCCTCCAAAAAGTTCTATTTTGTTTTCATCTGTCCACATAACGTCCTCTTCTGTATTACCAATATGCTCTCTGGCAAACTTCAAACAAGCCTGCAGATGTAAACTAGGGGACACGTCTGGCACTGCAGGCTCTGAGGCTCTCTCAGCATAGTACGTTACTGATGATGGCCTTTAATTTGGTTGCAGCTCTCTGAAGCTCATGCACCATTTCCCTCTGTGTAGTTCTGGGATTTTTGCTGACTGATCATTTTAACTTCTTAAAGAAGTTACAGGTCTCTGAGGGACAATATATTTATTTACCACCATAATTTACACACATATTCTTTAAAAATCCTAGACGATGATTACTTTGATTTTAATTTTTATCATTTTGTCTCATAGTTGAAGTGCGCCTATAATGAAAATGACAGACCTCTGTCATCTTTCTAAGTAGGAAATCTTGCACAATCAGAGGCTGACTAAATACCCCCCTGTATCTATAATAATCTTTACACATTTAGTTACAGCCAATATTTTAATGTATTTCATTTGGATTTTTGACACATTAAGGTTGACTTGTTGCATTTAGTTTAAAGAATGTTAAGAAAAACTTGAAGTTTTTGCTGTCTTGCATTTTTATTCAATCCTCAGTGCTGAGTCAGTACTTTTATAGAAACATTTTCACTTCAGTTATAGCTGCTACCCATTTGAAGTTGGTCTCTACCAGCGTTCTCTTTTGGAAACAGTTTTTTTTTTTGCCCGGTTTTGCAAAGTACCTGAGGTTCAATCAGAATAGAAAAAAGCATTTTCTAAATTCTCAAGTATTATGACAGATTCTCCATTGTTTTTTTTTTTTACTTCACCTTAGACCTAATTTTAATCGATGCTGACACTGCTGTTAATGATGATAACCTTTATGTTCACAGTGAACTTTGACCTGCTTACTGATCACTTTTTAAAGTATGATGCATTGTTAGTTTTTACCTTCACTCAGTCCTTACTGAACTGGCCTCTTTTTGTTTATGTCAGAGTAGAGCACCTTTGTCGTGTTTTTGTTTTTTCAAATGTAGCTTCTTTTTTTTTTAACCAGTCATCCAGAAAGGTCAGAGTTATAAAGGACAGGAGTAATAGCTGTACTGTTGACAAATTCTTCCACCAAGGCTTTGGATCTCTACATTTTCCTTAGACTTACCTTTGACCTCTATAACGCTCTCCATGCCCGGTCTATTTGTTTAGGTGGATTGCTTTTCTTTTTGTTAAAGGAATAGTACACCCAAAACATGATTAGCCTTCATTTTCTACTCACCCCCATGCTGAACAACACCCTGGAGTACTTTTTTGATATCTCAAATGCATCTGGAGATCTGGGAGGCTTCTTGCTGTCTGCTGACATTCAAATAATGGAGGTCTATGGTGCCCGAGACAGAAAGGTCCATAAAAGTCCACAAAAAACGTGTCAATATTCCTCCATACTGGTCGTCCAATGTATTCCAAGTGTCCTGAGTGGGTAGCATCCAGAATTTACTCGAAACAAAGTCATTTAGAATGTTTTTAGAGCATAAACAGTAGTGTATAGGATTTCCTGAAAGCGCGCACATGCGCGATCACGACGCTACGGAAGCCGGCAGACCAAACCAGATGAAAGTGCGCATTCAGCGTCTGCTCTGCCAATAATGCAAGCGTAGAAGAAGAAATGTGCCGTTGACCTGTGCAAAGAAAGAAACAACGAAAGAAAAATGTCTGAGGACTTCAGTGTTGAGGAAGAGCATGAGTTCTTTGCCGAGCTGAATGCGCTGGTTTGGTCTGCCGGCTTCTGTAGCGTCGTGATCACGCATGTGCGCGCTTTCAGGAAATCCTATACACTACTGTTTATGCTCTAAAAACATTCTAAATGACTTCGTTTCGAATAAATTCTGGATGCTACCCACTCAGGAAACTTGGAATACATTGGACGAGCAGTATGGAGGAATATTGACACGTTTTTTGTGGACTTTTATGGACCTTTCTGCCTCGGCCGCTGGGTACTTCCATTATTTGAATGTCAGCAGACAGCAAGAAGCCTCCCAGATCTCCAGATGCATTTGAGATATCAAAAAAGTACTCCAGAGTGTTGTTCAGCATGGGGGTGAGTAGAAAATGAAGGCTAATCATGTTTTGGGTGTACTATTCCTTTAAGTCTGTGTTATAAGTTATAGTATTTATAGTCTTTTTACTTAATTTTCCTTATACTTAATTTGTATAATATTTATTTCCTTCCATCCATGTCTTTCAAACTCAGTCAAAGCTGAGCGCGGAGCAGAAAAAGGGTGCGCTGCCATCAGTACCCACACTGCTGGAGGTCTTTGGATTTTCTTACTTCTACGGAGGGTTCCTGGTGGGTCCCCAGTTTACACTGCGCAGCTACCAGAGGCTGGTGGCCAGGGAGCTTACAGACTGCCCCGGAAAGCCTCCCAACAGGTATGAGAGGAAAATCACTAGTGATAAAGAGAAAAAAAAGAGGGGAATGAGACTACCTTAATTCGATCTCTGATTAAAAAGGCAGAGCAGCCTCCCAGTTAGACAGCTGTTCAGCTAACCTCTCTCCTTACTGTCTTTATTTTTGTTTCAGTGCTATTCCTGCTATGAAGAGGTTTGCTCTTGGCTTTCTCTGCCTGGCAATTTATGCAATATTTAGTCCTTATTACCCAGACAGCTACTTCTTAACAGATGATTATGAGGTGAGAACATGACTCTTGTTATGCCATTTAAACCTACATACAAAAATAACCTGATGTATTTTACTTACTCATTGTTGAAAATGTCTAAAAATAAAAATGATTTCCTTTCAACAGGCTCAGCCATTCTGGTACCGCTGCGTTTTTATTCTGCTTTGGGGCAAATTTATGTTGTATAAATATGTCAGCTGTTGGGTCATAGCGGTAAGTACTTTATTATCTCAAGTACTACCACAGAATTAGTTGCATAAGTACTGTTCATTTGTTTTTGTACATATAAGAAAGCATTTATATGGTAATATTGGGAATGAGCACAAATCTATAACAGCTGACCTGCAATGGTTACTGCAAAAGGCATTAAGAAATTATGAGAGCCAGGTTTCACTTTAAAGTTACCTTACCGAGGTAACAATGCTGTGGAGAGGGAGTACTTTTATAGAAATATAGTGAAGAGCTTCAGGCTGACCTGGAGGAATCTGCAGAGCTAGTTCCAGTTTGAACTATGTGCTGCACACATAGTGAGGTTAGAGGCCAAGGAGGAAACTATTTATGATGGACAGTTACAAACTCTGAAGTTTAAATGTCTGTATTATCCCTATAAGAATTATATACTGGGAACAGGAGACACAGACCCATGGAGAATGTGTTGGCGCAGTGTGATTGGTGATGAAATACTCACACCTGCCAAATTTCATTTCCTGTAAACAAACCAAAGTTCTTTTCTCCCCCAACAACCAAACCCTGACTAAAACTTAGTTTTGGAAGTGATCTTGGACCTCTTTTTAGCAGAGAATTGCTTCTGGTGTGAATATAAACCAGCTTCAATTTGACACAATTACAGAAAACGACCTCCTTTTTGGAATTAATGAGCCACCCTGGGATAGTTGTTCTCCATTTCCAGGTCTGCATTTCTTTGCAATGGGAGCAACAACTGTAGGGCTTTGTTTAAAAGGAGGAATATCCAATACAACTTTTTTATTTTCGATATGATGCCTATACCCATATTGACCTGATATGGTACTAGCACAAATCATACCAGCTTTTATTTAATTTTTACTGTAGAATGTTAAAAAAGGCTTAATCAATTAATATTATTATACCGGAAACGAACACAGATCTGACTTTGGTTTGGATCAAAGGACTTTCTTGGTGTGATTGCACCTTTACACAAAGTAAATATGGCCCTTAATGATTGGCATCTATTTGTCAGTCTAGTCATCCATCCTTTGTTCAGTCTTTCTTTTCTTCTGTCCAAACTTAAATGAATATAAAATTATTTTTAAATGAAGTTTGGTGTTAGCAAATAACCTGTAAAGTTCTAGGAATACACAGAATATATTTAAAGACACATTTTTTAAAAGGTTTAGTTATTAACTTTTATGATCTTAACCTTATGTTTCTGTTCTTACTACAGGAGGGTGTTTGTATATTGGCTGGTCTTGGGTACAATGGAGTGGTTGATGGTAAACATCAATGGGACGCCTGTGCCAATATGAAGGTGTGGCTCTTTGAGACCACGCCCCTTTTTGGAGGAACTATTGCTTCTTTCAACATCAACACAAATGCCTGGGCTGCCAGGTCAGTGTCATTAGTAGTTTCATTTAACTGAAGTGAAACCAGTGTTGTGAAAGTTAAAAGTTAATGTTTAGAGTGAAGCAGTGATGGAAACAATTCAATATGTTAGCCATTCATGGCTTCCTTTCACACAAGAAGACTAACATGTAACTAGGGCCCACACTTAGTTGAATAATCATAAGAAGAACGTAGGCATCCAGTTTAAAAGCGATCATTGATGGTTCTCCATCTCAAGTTGAACACATTAAATTCCTTCACCGATTGACCCAGTTCAATGAAGACTTCAGCGAACAAGGCAATTTATTTACTGAGCAAATAGTTTATTACACGGTTCAGTTCAGCTGAATGCTATTACAACTTTTGCTTAGTCTTTCATTTTGCACTCCTCAACATGCTTACGGTGCAGAAAACAGAGCAGGGGGTGGGGGTGCACTGAAAAAGAAAGAAAATTGAGGGGGAGGAAATGTAACTTGATTATCTGCCTGTAGTAAAATTGAGAGCACGACTGACAGAGGAATTATCTAATTATTTAGCTTACAAAGCCCTATTAATAACCTCATATGCACCAGTTTGTGGTTCTAATTCCACTGGTTCAGCTTAGATTGAATGGCTTTGTGTTGGGTTCCAGTTCTGTTGTTTCTCAGTAACATGAATGGTTTATAATATTTAAAGCCAACATCTACAAGACCCGTCAGGGATGACATCTAGGTTTTTCTCTATTGATGCATTTTTCATCCTATATGGAGAGATTGTAGATGAAAAACTCATGTGAGTTTTTTAAATTATAACAGAGTGTGTATTTGTTATTGCACATTCTGATAAAAAAAAATAAGTATGCAGTTTATTATCATTATTTTTTTATTATTATAAATGCTGAATAAATTGAAACATTGATATTTGGTTTAATTACACCTTAGCACATGCACAGAAGCAACACTTGTTTACAGTAAGCTATTGCTGACTTTCTGGATTATTAGACTAAGGTAATGGTAGAGTTTATTTAATATTGCGAACTCTGGTTTGAAGGCAAGGCAAAGCAAGTTTATTTGTATAGCACAGTTCAGTACATGTACAATTCAAAGTGCTTTATATAAATTAAACAATAAAATGGAAAAAAAATAAAAGCAGAATAAAATAAAATTACAGTTAAAAGCAGGTAATAAAACAAATAAAACAGTTTGACCACAAATTTAAACTAATAATACCCCAGTCAAAGTTAAAGGCAGCTCTAAATAAATGGGTTTTTAACTTTAACTGGAACTAGAAAACCTGAGTGGTCTGCGTGGTTGATACGCTGACAACAAATCTGACATGTATTACGGTGCTGATCCATTCAGTGATTTATAGGCTAACAGAAGGATTTTAAAGTCTGTTACTTGAGCTACAGGGAGCCAGTGCAAGGACTTCAGAACTGGGCTAATGTGCTGTACCTTCTTTTTTATTATTCCTACTGGTATGAAGAGGCTTCATAGATTTCATAGTGAACCTGGAGTCTTTTCTTTTTTCATTGCTGGAGCATCAAATTTTCTCAGAGACAACTTTCACATTAACTGGAGTAATTGAAACAATGAAATCTGCAACTTTCAAATGGACATTATCAACCAGGCAATCTATTGAGGGTAAAGTGGAAGCAGAAGGATAAACCTGGGTAGTTATTTATTGTACTGTTCACGATAACACGCTTCCTTATTACATCTCTGTTGGTAGTTAGATCAGAGGGAAAAACAGAGTGGTCTGATAGGCCAACATCAGTTAGATGAACATTAGAAATCCATCCATCCATCCATTTTCTTACACACTTAATCCCAAGCGGGGTCGCGAGGGATGCTGGTGCCTATCTCCAGCTGTCTACGGGTGAGAGGCGGGGTACACCCTGGACTGGTCGCCAGTCCATCGCATTGCAACATGGAGACAAACAACCATTCACATACACACCTAAGGAGAATCTAGAGAAGCCAATTAACCTAACATTCATTTTTTTGGACTGTGGAAAGAAGCTGGAGTACCCGGAGAGAACCCACGCTCAGGGAGAACATGCAAACTCCATGCAGAAAGACCCCGGGCCCGAAATCGAACCTTGAACCTGCGCCACTGAGCAGCCCAACATTAGAAATATTTTATTAAATCAAATTCAGTTTATTTATATAGCGCCAAATTCACAACACATGTCACCTCAAGACACTTTACAGTTCACCAGATCAGATTTGGATCTTTACTGATGACCAAGTCCAAAATAGGTCCTCTATTGTGAGTTGGCTGTTTAACATTTTGAGTCAAACCAAAATGTTTCAGTAGATCACTTTTATTTACATAACTGAAGCAAGTTGTTCTTTGTTTTTGAATTGGGATTGGGTCATTCCAGAAGGATAATCTAAGCCTCCTTCATTAGTTCCTAAACCAGCGCTGATTTTTGTTTTCAATCATTATCTTGTTGAAAACGACAATTATGCTCAAGTTTTGAAATGTCCAGTTGTTGATCTAATGTAAATTTGAGATATTTTGAGGAAGACCTATTCCTGTATTATTCGTTTCACTTTATTTTATGTATCAATGCAACTGGTAGTAAAAACAAACATCAACAGGAAGCTACCTCTGCTATGTCGGACATATAATAGTGATTTTAGTCTCGAGATTCTCATGTTGAGTCCTCAGAATATTCTCTTGTTTTGGCCCAAAAGTATTAGTCTTTGTCTAATCATAACCCATATCTCCAGAGGGTGTTTCACCTGCAGAGGGGGTAAGCCGGAAACTTAAACACAGGTGTACTGTGTTTCTCTCATGACAGAATTTTTTGCACCTTTTTGTTGGACTGAATGAGTCTTCGTTGTTCCTAGGAATTTCCTAAACATCCTAACTAGATTTCCTTCACTGAAGGTGACTTCTGTGGTCAAATCAGTGTAACTAATTCTGTCTGCTGTTCTATAATACCAGAAATCCACTAGACTGATTGTAAAAAAGATGAAAAAAAGCTAACTGCAAGGTTCTGGAATGTTCCTGGTTTCAAGTCTACTTGAAATTTCAAAAATATGCTTCAAGTTTGGGTCTGTGCCTGGAAATTGAATAATTTTAAATAAATTCCACCATTTCTGATGGGAAGAACTGTCAAATATCTGCCCTGATATCCAAGGAATTTGTTGATTTGTACAAGAATGTGTGGCTTCTCTTCAACTTGCTTAGAAGCATTTAATCAAAGGTTAGAGGGTCTGTCTGTCTGTGTTTTGGCTTGTTTTGGAGATAATGTTTTTTAAATCTAGATTTGTAAATCCACATTTTAAAGTCCACTGAGGTATTACCATTTGTTAAATATAGAAGTGAGGGTCCCCCTGAAGCGTCTGCGCCTTGGAACTTCCCTACCGGTTCTTTACCTGGGAGCAAGTTATTTACTACTCTTAACTCAAACTGGGTAAAACCATATAAGAAAAGGACTATAAAACAGGAGTAAAAAAGTAACAGCGTTTATTCCAGGTCAGGTCGTTACAGGACAGAGAAATTACTTAGGGTTAGCACAGCTGTGGGCTCAAAAAACGTCAGCGAGCGTCCGGCAAAGATTGAGCAAAGATTGAGCCCCGAACAAGGTCATCTCCTCCTTCTTATACCTCATGAGTGTTGCATCAGGTGGATGCTTAGCTGTCCGTATCAGAAACTGACACGCCATCAATGCCCTGACCTGTATGCATCTTGCCTCTATGCCCAAGAATTACAGATAGCTCCCCTTTATCAGACCAGCTCCAAGATGTGCCCATATCCTGTGTATTTCTAAAGACACGAAGGTTGTCCTGATTAGATGACCTCCGTGCACACAGTGACATCCACCATATGAAGGAAGGCCTTCTACTCCGTCTAATCTGGCTAACAGAATAACAATGCACATGCTGTATAAAGAGTAAACCTAACACATTCCACTTTGTGAAAAGGGGCAACTTGGTCATCATTAAAAGCCCAGAATTCATGTCATTGATTGCCATGATCTTTTAACTATTTGCTTATACCAAAGCAGAAATCAACAGACCCAAATTAACTTTGAAATGAAGCTAAAACTTCAAACAATCAGTGTTCATTTTATTTATCTATAATCCATAATTATTAGGAGGTTTTTTTCTAAACCTCACGGTGAACTCTTGCTTGTTCTATCTTCTAAAACAAAGATGAACAAATTCCAGCAACACATATGGGGAGAATAATGACCAATTCCAGTTTCCCATGAGCTTTTATCAGTTTGAGCAAATTTACCAACTACTTTTTGGTTTTATTCAACTGAAGTGCAGTAATGATGTGCTTTTGCGAAAGAGTCCCTCTACTCTTTATCTTGATTTTAATTATTTTAAGAAATAAAGCAGCTCACAATGTTGATGCAGTGAACAGGGTCCAAGACATCTGAAAAGGGATGATCGATTTGGGCCCACTGTTAATCTTGCGGTAGAAAACTGAAGCAGAAGTCTGAACAGAATCTGTTTCTAATTAGTTTGTATTTAGAGTCAGTGGTAAACATATATAATATTCCAACTTAAATACATAGTTACTGATGGTGAAAAGCCTGTTATGTCAGCAGTCAAACCTTTCTGTGAATGATGGTCATTACATTTTTACAGAAAAAAATGTTGAGATATATCAGGCATTGCATAATGCTTAATTGGCTGGCCCAAAAAAAATTGTTTATAGCAATTAGTCATAATAATTTATCCCTCTCAAAACATGTTTTAAGAACAGGCTGAAATTTAAAGCTTAAAGGCTTTCGCTCAGGTTTTTAGTAAATATTTTTGAAGCCTACCCTGCAGTCTCATCCGTTCTGGAGAATTAAGCTGAGCAAGCTGCATTTTTTGGCACATGGAGGACCATCCTCCTCTTTCCCATCCTCCCCTGTGCCATTAGGAATGGTCGTTGGTATTAGTTGTTCATTGGTTCAACTGAATCTTGATCTGACCACATGTGATTTGTGGATATCCATTTCAAATCAGGTTGTAGATGCTTTAAAGCTGAAGCTGCAACCTGCCTGTTTGGTTCATTTGGTAAACCAAACCATCTATCAGTGACAGACAAGTTATTATTTGCACCTGACCTTGGAGACTCCTAAAAGGGAGTGCCTCCATTTGCTTTAAAACATAGCCTTCAGAACTGACAGTCCCTTGTAGTCGCTATGATAGGGGTGATTGACAATATTTGATCATATATTTTAACATATAAAAACAACAGAGTATTTTCAGTCTAACAGATGTTAGCTTGGTACAAACAATCTCCTCAGGCTTCTAATTTTGTCCAGATATGTCTTCTTGTTTAAGTCATTTCTGGCTTGGAAAAATATAAAATCTTTGTTAAACAATCCTGAAACTCTGTTTAAAAAAGTTTCTCAGGGAGTTTAAGCCGGTAACTATCTAACAAGCGGTTTGTCTGATGCCCACTGAGGCATGTCTGAGTCTTTCTAACCGCACCTCTTATTTGTCAGGCCCTACAGCTAATGTAGAAGCCTGTCATCACTGCTATGTCCGTGTGGGAGGTCTGAAACAGAACATAATGTGTGAACTTGAAGCCTTTCTTATATCGACATTGGAAGCTTTAATAGCAAAATGTAAAGTTCAAATTTATTAATGAACTCAGTTGCTATGCAACAACAACTTGCAGGTGAATTTTTTCGTGTCACTGTGACAGCTGAAGTGTTTCTGACTGCTTTGTTCAGATTTATGAACTGAAGGAGGATTCATGACATTGGCTTTTTCCTCTTTTCAGACATGTGTTTAAGCGGCTGAGGTTCCTGGGAAATAAGACCTTATCTCATGTGGCCACACTGCTCTTTTTAACCATCTGGCACGGCCTTCACTCCGGATACATCCTGTGCTTCTCAATGGAGTTCTTCATCATTACCGTAGAGCGGCAGGTATTCTTTTTACACAGCAGAATTAAGAGACACCATGCATTATTAAAAGAACATTGGCGCTACCCCTGATTTCTTTATGTTCTTCTAAATAGTCTTTATCCATAGTTCTTTACATTTGTTTTATGCAACACACCTGACCCTGACAACATACAATGCATTGTGTGTTTAATGCATTAAAAATCAGGGCAACTAGAAGACAGAGAAAAAAAAGAGTGTGAGCTGAAAAATGACTAGACTTAAATCTCACATTAATTTATTTTTTAGATAATGTATTTAAACCACTGTTGTCCCAGGGGAAAATGGTTACCCAGCAAGCAACTCCAATGAACTTGAAAAATAAGATTGTTAGTACAATGTGAGGTCAGAGCTTTCCAAAAAACCCCCAAGCCTGCTTTAACTATGGAAACCCTATATAAGGATGCTCATGGTCCTCATTACAGTTTTTCTGGGTTTACTTGACGGCCTGCAGCTTTTTCCAAATGTACTTTTCTCTCTCTACCTCCTTTCCTTTAAGCTAGATTATCTAATATAGACAATTAAGATCTTGGTGCACTAGTTTTTAAAATGGCATTTGTGATATTGAGGTGTGGGATTGTTTTAAAGCTAGTGGTCATGTTGCATACTAAAAAATATGGAATATAAGCTTCAGTCTTTGACAGTTCTGGGCGTTCCTCCAGGATTCGGGCCCCAGAGAACACTTCACTGTTTTTTTGAGAGGATAAAGGTGTCCATCATCAAGCTACCTAAATGGTTCTGACCACATTTAATAAAAGTATTTTTTTGCCATGAAAGTAGAAGATTGAAATTAATTCTACCATTTATGCAAAACAGCTGTCAAATGCTGGTGAAGATTCTCAGTCATCAGCGGTCTCTTAAGAATTATGCCAGAAGCTTGCTTTAGGGTATGCACCAGTCTTGCAGCCCAAAAAAACATCTCCAGTGCATCATTAGAGAATAATCAGCACTTATCAGAACACCTGTATGTGAGCTATTTACTCTAGCAGCAGGTGAAAAAAAAAAGCTTGGCTGCTAAAATACCGTTGTTACTTTGGTTCCTATTTACTAGAATGAGAAAGCCCAGTTATCTACTTGTGTCTAGTTTTTTTTGTGTTTAAAAACTAAATCTTGTTCTTTTAATAATTTTAGGAATGTTTTAAGGTCTTATTCATCGATCCGATTTAAAGCGATTAACAGCCAACAAAGAATGTTCTTAAGAATAAGACACCTTAAAACCTTTCCAACTGAAATTTAGCAGTTACCTCTATACGTTGATTGAGTCAGAACATGCTGATTTTTATATCCACAAAAAATATATATTTATCTGTGATTGTTTTGTACCTTTTGGTGTAAGATGTGCCATCAGTATATGAAATAGTATTTTTGCTGTGTTTAACCATATATGCATTTTGTGTGTGTGTGTTTATGTGTGTGTAAACAGGCCCAGGCTCTTGTGCGGGATAGTCCCCTGCTGACTAACTTGGCCAACAGCCACCTCTACCCCCTCATCTACGTAGTTCAGCAGTTTATTCACTGGCTCTTCATGGGGTATCCTCTCGTGCCATTCTGCCTTTTCACCTATGACAAATGGCTCAAGGTAACGCACTTCTCCTGAAGCCACACAACTCAGCTGATTTTATTTATTTATGTTACCTTGCTTCTATTTTCTATTCAGCTCAGGGAGTGCTTTGGGTATCAAATGTAAAACAGTTCTTTAAATTTCAGAGGTGTGCTGTAAATAAGAACACAAAGGGCTTTGCTGGGAGGAATATGTTGCTATGACAGCACATATTTCAGACAGACAGAATTTATACCGTGCAGGGTGCAGCGGGATTTCCCTCTGAATGAATTTCTCCTCTTTTACGACGTTGGTTGGATGACCAGATGTTGCTGTCTTTTTTTTCCCCCCTCTTTATTCTAAATACATTATGCCTTTATAACTGGTCCAAAAGCAAATGAAGATGTGAAGCAGTTTAGTTTTTCTTTCCCTAGTTTTAAATGTTGCCATAAAACTAACCTGTGGATTGTCTGCACTGTTGGAGGCTTCAACAGCTAATCTTTCTGTAATCTGATTGGAAGCAGATTAAACTGAGTTATGCTTTTATTTATGATGCTTTGCTGCTTTATTACATTAGATAAGGTCAGCTACTCAGAAACACAGAGAACTCCTACTGAACAAATTAAATATTTAAATAAACAGAACGATACTGCTTTAAAACAATATTTTCCATTTCTTTGCATTAACAAAAAGAAAAGCTTTAAATTAGAAAGCAATAAAAACAGGTTGTGTGGAAATGGAAATGAGTTAGCTCCTGAGATAAAATAAATAATTTGGTATTAAATAGATGTTAAGTAAAGAATCACAGATCATTCAAATCCAATTTTGATTTAAATTTTGCTCTTATCGATGTTTAAGAACTATATATGCAATGTTCAAAGTGATAGCAGTTCAAAATCAGTGAGATTAATTATTCTGTGCTGTATAAGGCGGCACTTATTTGAAGCTAGCAGATGTTGTATGTGCCTGTTACAATACATTCCTCTCTGCACATCAGAGTTGAATGATTTGTTTCAGAAACGGTTTAGAACAATCGTGATAACTCAAACGTAGATTAAAAACTGAAGATAGGGGGGTGGATCTCCGCTAAGATGATCCAAAATGCTTTAAAATATCTAGAATGCCAAATCCAGAACGATAAGAGGGGAAACCGAAAACTACCTTTAAGAGGAAAGATATCAAAGACTGAGCCAAGGAATAGCTGCTGGATGATGAAGGACTAAACTGGAGATGGTTACGCAGGATTGCAGAATGAGCGACACACAAGAAAGCAAAAAGTGCATTACGTTATCATGGAGGGAGACGTCGACTGATCCTCTACAGTCCGTTTGATCTCTTAAATATGTTGATCCTGTTTCAAATAACAGGGTGAGGATAAAACACAACTTTGTCTATATAGGAAAACTCCCACATCTTTTGCAGGTAAATGCTGTAAAAATTCAGTTACCTGACTACTCAGTCTATGATGTTTGTTAATCACCTTGTAAAGAGACAAAGTGATCAATAATGGGAGTTTATGGTGTTTATTAGAGATCTGTTATTTGAAAGGAGGGATTGATATTTCACCAAAACGAAGCTGTCCGTTCTATCCTTCAAGCTTATTTAAGTTGATAAACCTTCAGGGTTACATCCCATATGCCGTCTCTGATAAAAATCCAAGAAATCTAAAGAAACCAGTAAATGTGGTTAAGTCTACCTATGCAGGAATACTAGCACACAGATTGTGGAGGTTGGTCTATACAGAGGTGAAGCAGTTTTCAAAAACAGCTGCACAACTACATTTTATTTTCATTATTCACTAAAAGCATACTTTTTAGGGGTTTCTTTGGTGGATTTTTTTTTGTAAGAAAAACAAACTGATTTTCCTTTTTCGTCATTTTCTGAAAATTCATAACAAACTTTATGAATATTCTTCAAGTTTGTATTGTAATGTAAAGGTGCAGGGTTCAATATTTTCTGTACACATATCAAGGCTATTGGTTAATCTACATTTAACCGTCTTCTTTAATATCTGCGATTAGCACAGACTAACCATTAACAGCAGTGTCTGTGTGTTCTGTCTGTAGACTGAGTAGACCTTGCCTTAATTATTATATTCCCAAAAGGTTGTCATCAAATACATATCTTGCAATTTCAATGATAAATGTAGGTTAAAAGCTCTGCTGTTTAAACCAGAACAACTTTGGTGAATTGTGTCAGCCTCTGCTGACATTCCACTCTATTTCTAGCTTCTAATACGATTTATCTGACTGTATTTTAAATGTTTATTTTGTTTTTAGTTGTACAAAGTAGCCAATTAGGCCCTATATAAATGGCTCTTTGTCCCTCCAGGGTTTGATGTTTACGCCTGGCTCTTCCCTTCTTTATGCTTTACTATTAAAGCACCAAAGGCAACATTACAACACCCCTCACTGGTGTGGCAGAAATATAATGCCTCTGCCTTAGTGTGGTTTCATTATTGCCTAAAAAAGAAATGCGCTTTTTGGGTTTCATTCAATTATTTTTGACCAACTTAGGTGTTTTTTATTTTTATTTTTTTCATATTTTTTTTCACCTAGGTATATTCTTCCGTCTACTTCTGCGGTCATGTGTTCTTCCTTGTGGTATATTTAAGTCTACCATTCCTCCGTACGAGTCTTGTGCCTAAGAAAGAACGGAGCGAGAAAAAGCAAGACTGAAACCTGGTTCTGGGCCCTGGAAAGGTTTGTTGGTGTATTTTCATCTTTTTATCTGCTGTTTGCATCAGTCCAATCATGTGATTAAAACCTTCATTTTTTCCCAGGTCTGTTTGAGGCTGAATACCCTCGATCCTGAAAGGGAACCATGACGTTCGAGGAGCAGAACGCAAACTATTTTAAGGCCTTTAGTAATATATAAATATGAATATATGTTCATGTAAAAATAAATTTCTATATATTTTTGTGTTTTTAAGTGGGAGGGCTGGGTTTTATAAATATTTCGAGATGTTTACAGGAAATTACCATTGTGCCACATGGGGTAATGTGAGCCAATCGGAGTCAGTTTCCTGCTTGTATATCATTATCACTCTCTTTTGTTTCTTTTTTGAGGTAAATTTAAGACGTGTGAAACTTGAGAAGACTTTTCATGCCGTCGATATGGGATTGCACTTATGAGTCACAGGTTCTGAGTCTGTTTTTAGGCTCCTGTGTGTTTTTGTTGTTTAATTGCCCCATGTCTGGCACCCTCATTTTTGCAGCAGCACTAACCCTTAATAGAGGGTTTAAGCACAGCTGTATGGATATTTATATATAATACTTCCTGATGTCATGATCCAACATGCACACGTTTCTGCAGAAAGATTTGGACGATTGGAGGCTTTTTTTTCTCTGCAAATGGCTGCTAGTGGTTATACAAGCACTGTAAAATCACACACTGTACATCTAACACCCAACTCTAAATGGCCTTGAATCAATGAATGTTTCTACCGTTCGTTTGTTCTGGATTTAATTTGATTTGTAATTGGGGGAAAAAATTGTATGATTTTTTTATAGGGTTTTATGAAAATGAACATTTTGTAGTTTTTGGATAAGACGCATTGTTCTCCTGCATTTCCCTTCTTTGTAGTCCATATAGTTTTCTTCTCTCGTCCTTCAACTCTGTGCCACTCCTTTGTCTAGCTACTTTGATTCAACTGCAGCCCTCACTTTAAAAAGCACAAATGTGCAAATAAATCACACCCAGTGGTTTTGGTCCCTCTGAAGTCCAGTCTGTGAGAGTATGGGTCATACACTGATTTAAAAAATGCACCGTTGGGGATTTCACCCTTCAGCCCGCTCCTGTGTTTCTAACAGCAGACCGTAATTAACAAGAGTGAAGGATCATAGCCCATATGCCCCTTTGTAATGTGCATATTTTCTGGGTAAGGGGGAAAAAAATATTGCCGTTGTTACCACCGTCCTTTCACACACAGAGGACAAACCTCACCGTAGCAACGGCCCAGATTTCAGTAATATTTATACAGAACATGCTGATTATTAATTGATGAAATGCTATTTCAAGAGACTCCTGTTTTTGCCTTATCCGAATAAAATGTACAAAAGAAAACATGTTAAGAGGTGAAAGTGATTTGAAATATACTTTTGTAATGTTAAATAAAATACTGCATTTCAAGGAAGACCTCTGTAACTTTTTTTGGCGTGCTCATTTGACCACATTTGATGTGCGTTTAAAAATGCAGTCCTGGCATGCATTTGTCTTTAACAAATGTGCACTGACAGTAAAACAGCTGTGTTATGAAGTATGGATTTCCTCTACAGGATTCCACAAAATAGGTCATTTTCAAAGCAGACTGAAGGAAAAGTGTATTTTTTTTCAGCTCCGTCTCTACATTGGTTGATCACACTACAGGAGGTGTTGGCAAATATTATTATACGTCATTGACATGGAGGATTTCAGGCTTGATTCTGAGACAATTGAGTTTTTTGAGCAGTACAGATTATAGACTCATATTTTTAAATCAGAGTTCGACTCCAATAAGCCTCAAGTGATGATTGATACGGCTGTGGATAATTAAAAGGAAGAATATTGTTTTTTTGAACTTTAAATGATAAAAATCTGTTTTTTTTCTCCTCTTAATTTCCATCTGGTTGGTTCTGATGTTATTTACCAGTCGTATATGCCTTGCTTTGCTTGTATCGCCTTAAGTTATTATGTAAAATGCAGGAAGCAAGGCACTAAATCTAGTCTAGACTCAAACTGCTTTGGCTTACCTGAAGTCTGAAGACTGTCTGTTCAGCAAAGGGATTTCTTTTTGATCTCCTGACTGACTGGAAATGACAAGAAAAATGGGAAATTCTCCAGCATGAGAACCATCAGCATCAGTTCCCCCAAGGCGTGTGTCCTCTCCTCTCTGTATTCAAATAATTTCAACTCAATTGACCCATCTGTAAAATTTCAGTTGCTCATGGATGAAACCAGTCAGTGGTCTGTGGCAAGTCAGTAATAAGTCTTTAAGAAGGCAGGAGGTTGATCCGCTGGTCCACTGTCGCAATCAGAGCCACCTAAAAGATAACAGGACATGGGACTTCCACTACTAAATAAAAAAAAGTGTTAAAAAAAAAAAAAAAGTAAAACTGGGCCCAAATACAGTGGTCAACAAAACAGACTTCAATTCAGGTACTAACATAAAGAACTCAAGCACAAACTGACCTATCAAACAAGACATCACACACAAGGGGGATAACTGACTAACAAACAAAATTAATCAAACAGATAAATACTGGCCAGACACTAAGTTCTTTTTAAATTTAGCAAATTAATAAAACTAACCAAACTAAGAATATCTAAACAAATGATAAACAAATTTCCCTTCCCATTAGAAATGGTGTGACCCGCTGATTAGCCTGTAACGGTCAATTGAGAAGAAAGCTGGAGCTCATTGCAGCCCTCCAGCAGCAGATCCAAAGGAAACTAGCAACTCAGAAAAATTAATTAATTGCATTTTAACAAAAAGCTAAGAATTTGACAAATAAAGTTAACCAGATGTGTGCATTGCAAAAAGCTAACTTAAAGTCAGGATAATTTAAATATTTGAAATGTGCAACTCATTTTGAAAATGAAAAATATTAAAGTTACCACACAGCTTCAGAGTGTAACAGCATGCTGTTGCAGCATTTAAAGAGAGAAAAATGTAGAAGAAATTACAAATAGTGTACTAGAAGGAGCTGTTATGGTCTCACCGAGGGTACATGTTTGTAAATGTTTGAAGTCGATTGTTTTTTCACAGCTCGATACAAAAATTTGTAGAAAAAACTTTGCAGCTCACACTGAGCCTTGTTCTGCTGGATGTTTGTTCTGTTTAAAAGGGAGCTTTTCCTCTCCACTGTACCCACATGCATGCTTGGTGTGAAGGATTATTGTAGAGTCAAGGATGAAGTGCAATCAAATATCTAATGTCCACCTGCTCATCCAGGAGGAGCGCCTCCTGCAAGGCGATGTTTGGATGCAGCTGGTTTTCCTTAGGTAGAAAACTTTTTTTTTTATCAATCTGACCATTTGATCTGGTTGAACTGTCTCTGTAAAGTGCCTTGAAATGTCATATGTTGTGAATCGGATCTTAGTAAATAAACTAAATTGAATTAAATTGACTAATTAAGTAATTTATTTAGAGGCATCAGAATAAAGGGAAGAGAGTTTGACTGTATGCCACACTCTTCCTCTTATGAGGTTTTATAGCAGTTGGCAAACTTGTGAGAAGTGCATTACCGCCACCAATTGCTATGGAGTATAGAAAGGAAACAGGAAACGATTAGCCCCAGAAACAAAATGCCACACTCTTAATGCAGCATGCGTTATTTATGGAATCGAGCAGAGCAAGGATCAGCGGCGGAGCTAGATGGGGGGCCAGGGGTGGCCATGGCCACCCTTACCTTTTTTTCCCCTCTAATACAGATGATGGCAGAAGTAATTGTCATGGTCTTGGTTCTGTTGTGCTTTCCTTTGCGCCATGTTTTCTGGTTTTATTGGTTTAATTCCTGTTTTGATGTATTTGGATATATTTTAGTTTTCAGGTTTTTCTTTGTTGTCCTCTGTTGTCCTCTTGTATGCGTGTTCCTTTCCCCTTGGCTTCCTCGTTGCCTCCTCTCACACCTGCTCCTTAGCCCTGCCTTTGTCTCAGTCAGCTATATATACTCTCCCTCTGCTGTCACTCCTTGTTGGTTTCTTGTCGTTTCTGGTTTCTTACTGCTGTTTTCTTCCTACCTTGTCTCTCCCTGGCTCCCCCTGTTTGGTTTCCCCTGATGTCTCCATGGTTCTGGTTTGCTTTACATTTACAAGTTGGATTTTTGGATTCCTGCCTTTGTTTACTGTTTCCATCAATTAAATTGCAAGAAATCTCCTCAGCCTCTCTGCCTCTGCATTTGGGTCCTCAAACCACAACCAAACCCTGACAGTAATACTCTGAAAGGGAATCTTCAAACTTATTTAACATTTAAATGTTTTTATATATTAAAAACTACTTCATTAGAAACACTGATTAATTATGCAGATAAATATACAAACATTAAAGATGATAGATACAGAATTCATGCCATTTTCAGAATTAAATTTTTAATCATTAGGGGTAAAGATAAAATGATGTGCCTCTGCAAGTCATCTAGGAGTCTTCAGTAAAATCATAGATTAAAAACTACTTTAATAACTTAAAAATGTCCCGATTTGGTTTGGGGTTTTTGTGAGGACCCAAATGCAGAGGCTGAGAGGCAGGGGTGAGTTCTTTGAAGATTTAATAAATGAACACAGGCAGCAAAAACAGAAATCCAAAAATTATAACTTAAAAATGTTAAACAAAACAGGAATCCAAAATCCAACATAAAAGTTAAACATCAACCAGAACCATGGGGACATCAGGGGAAAACAATCATGAGGAACCAGCAATGAGAGACTGCAGAGGGAGTGTATTTAAGGCTGACTGAACAAAGTCAGGACTAACGAGCTGATAAGGAGCAGGTGTGAGTAGAGCTGACGAGGAAGCAAAGGGAAAAGAAAACACAAGCGGGCAACAGAGGACAAGCAAAGAAACACCTAAGAAACTTAAATAAATCCAGAACACACCAATAAAGCTAGAAAACAAAGAAAAACAAAGATAAACTCGAAACTGAAAACTTAGAGAAAACCAACAGAACCAAGATTGTTACAAAAATCCATTAAATGTGGATATTAGTAGATTTAAATATAATTATTTTTGGCACAAAAAGAATAGAGAAAAGTAGTTAATGACAATGTAAAATATGTTCGCCCCAGAACTCAAACCTGAAAGAATTATGTCCACTTAACCTTTTATTTACACAGCATAGATGTTTAAATATATGAGTGTATTTTTTTAGCAAAGGCTGCAGTAAAGTATAGTTTGTCTTTATTTAGAAAATATGGATGTTGTGCTCATTCCTGTTGAAACAGTGTAGATTGACCCTGAGGTTCTGGTGCCTTCCGGCCACCCCTATTAGGATTTTCTGGCTACGCCTCTGGAAAAGATGCCTTCATATTGAATATGTTTGCTTTTACAGAATAAGCTTTGGCAGGAGGGCTAAACGTGGTGAAGTGACGTCATTTTGCAGAGAGGGACTGACTGAGTGAGCAGCGTGAAATGCGTGGAAACGGATAAAAACACGCACAAATAAAACTGGGATGTGGGCGAGTCAATAAGCTGACAGTTCTGAAGAAGACGGGAAAGTCGCCGCTGCGTTTGGAGCCTGAGTCAGAGCGGAGGAGAAAAGAGCCAGGGCAGCAGTCTGTTAGAGGAGGAGAAGGACGCAGTGTGGGCGGGTTAAGAAACGCCGAGAGGGAAGGGAGGGCATGCCAGCGTAATATTCCCACCACTTGTCTTCTTCCTACCGACTGAGGAAAAAGGGGGTAAAAATAAGGACGTGCGTCTTTCCTACATTTCATACCACCCTCCCAATAACCCACCGAGCGTCATTTCTCTGCTAGCCTCCGTCTCCATCTCCATCCACCTTCATCCCACAGGCGGAGCTTTGGGTTTGCTGTCAGGAGCCGACTTGATCTGGAGCGAAGCGGCAGGGGCGTGAGAGGCGGATGCTGCGAGTGTAGAAGCAGGGTACCAACCACAACGGTAATGTCCTACATTTCCATCACAAACCATCGTTTCTGCCACATTTCCTGCTTAAAGCTGCTGCTTTACGCATTTACGCACGCCCGTTAGAAATGTGTGTCAGCCCGCAGTTTGCGCTGATAATTGTCGCATAGCATGTTTGTAATTATGGATGTGTTTGATCATGTTTATTTTATTATTTAAAAAAAAGGGAAAAAAAAGAATCCTCTAAATTTGATTTTTATTTCATGTGTATAAAAGCCTGTAATTTTCCCTTCAGTCTAAACAAACCGGGGGGTGGGGGGGTACCATGATAAAACACGCAGCTCTGCCACATGCACTTATGACCAGGTATATGTGTGTTTTCTGCATGCTGACCAAATGCTCCTGGACTGGAGCTTCAATCCTGCAACTCATGCAAATTAGTTTAGCAGCTGTCATCCATGACACTGTAATGGTGATTTATTGCTCAGACATCCCTGTGAAATCTTCTCTTCAGTGCCATCTGAATTGCCTGATCTGCTTCTTGTTACTGTACTGTCCCCTCTGCTGGTCCGTTGTTGATGCATGAACTGTACACCCCCCACCCCTTCCTCTTCTCTGTCCCCTCTCCTCATCCCTGTCCTCTTATCCTCCCCTTTTTCCTTCTTCAGATGGACAGAATGAATTTTCTCTCCTTCCTCCTCCTTTGCTTGACTTCGGTTGCCACTTGCAACAAAGGTCAGTTTCTCATCCTTTTTCTCTTGTTTCATTTTTTTTTTAAGTGAAGTGTTGAGATAAAGGTTTGCATTGCCATAGAAACACACAGACCTTTTGGGGATATTTTTCCATCCAGAGCTAGTGACTGATTCCTGTATTGCATTGCTTGAATTCCTCATACATAACCAGGTGCATACATAAACATTTTTGCACCTCCTGCTCCCCAGCCTGGTGTGCATGCATTTGCCCTTATTTCTTTGGTGTGACTCGGTGATGATGGATCCCTTTCCCTGCCTGTGGAAGATTTATCATTGACAGTGATTCAAGATCATTGTTAAAGTGATTGTCATGCCGAGGGGCAGATGAAACCGACGCTGCCGTGCAGGAGGAGAGGGTGAGAACATTGAAGGGGATAGAGGTGGGTTGGGGGGTGAGTTGGTACGTGAGATCAGGTGACAAGAGGAAGAAAAGGGAAAAGAAAGGTGGAGAAGCAGAGCCTGTTGTGTCATACAATATGTGTGTGTGCGGGTGTGAAGAGGCCAAATGAGGAGGGGTTGACGGGCGAGAGCTGTGGCCTGATGGATAGGGTGACAGAAAGAGGAGCAGTGCCAAGGGGGACAGACAGAGAGATGGAGCAGGATGCCTCTCAATCTGTAATCCCAAATGTAATCCACAGGCCTGATGCTCAGATTAATGCAACGTAGCAGCAAGGAGTGGGGGGAGGGAGGGAGAGAGGAAGACGAGCATGGGGAGGGGGGGCAAGAGGGCATGAGATAAATGACCAAAAAAGAAACACACAAGCGTTTAAACAGAGGAGGTGGAGGAGAAGATGAATAGCTGTGATTATGCCTGGGTGTTGACGGCGACTAATTATTGGAACAAGCAAAAATTTCTATTCATCAGAATGTTAAAAACTTACTGGAGTGGATGGAGTGGGTGTTTTTTTATTTAGTTTTATTTTTACTAAATTTTAATTCAAATATTTAAATGATTAGAGTTCCTCTTGCTCAGAAAGCCTGACATTTAGATAGAGATGTCTGAAATTACTTAAAGACCTTATCAAATCTGCAACATGACACTCTTTTCATTATATTCTTTAAATTAAAGGTAGCAGTGTTTATATTTGGTAGTTTTTGTCATTCATTGCTTCACTGTTTCAATCAGGAAAAAATACGGAGATCTAATATTTAGCTGAGCTTGGTGGATGATTTTAGATCACATTTTACACTATGACAAAGTTGCAAAGCTTGAAATTTCCCCCTTCCCCGAATGATGAAGTTTATTCTAGGAATTAAGAATGAATTAATGCAACAACAAAAAAGGTTTAAACCAGATTTAAGTGAAAAGTAACATGTTGACCTTATAGTTGTGTTTTTGTTTTCTGGAGGTCCTTCTGTAAGATTAGAACTAGAGTTTAGTTCACGGTAAGGCAACCTTCTAACCCTAAATGCATGGAGCTCATTACTAAAGAGGAATTGTCAAAATATCAATGGAAATCTGCTCAGAAAATAATCTAAGGGATTGAGTACTGCAATGCATTTTTTTAATATATGATTTTGAGTGGAATTAATAATTAATAAAGATTACCTTCTTTTTTTCTCTGTCCTTTAACATATAGCTGTTATATTTCTAATCAGAAAAAGACAGATTTTTAATTTAAATCGCTAATGGGTGTGGATCTTTAACCTCTTTTGTGTTTTTTTTGTGTTTTTTTTATGTTAGTTGTCGGCTGCAGAGAATTTGGAAGTTTTGATTTTACTCAGAAAAGTGTTCCCTGTTTCTTATAAAAAGAACATTGTTTTTATAGAGGGACTTCTGTAGATATCTATTCACTGAGAAGTATGTTCTCTTTTTATCACCTTAGAGGTGAAAAACCGTTATGTTTACAACAACTGTTCCCAAAAGGAGGGGAACAAAGTACAACACATGAGTATGGGATATGATGCCCCTGTGTATCCTGGCTGAATCCACCTCTAACCACGCCTCCTTATATGATGTGATGACGACAAGAGACGACATTACTCAGTTCGATAGCCGGTCTTCACCGAGCCCAGCTGAGAAGTGGAGCAGACGTGTTATACTACGCTCCCCTCCTTCAGGGAACGGTAGTTGTATACATAACATAATGTACCATTTCACTCTATTCACTCAGTATAATACATAAGTATGGGACATATATAAACACCCCAGAGAGTAGCCATAAGACCTGGGTCAGGCACAGCAGGCTATTGCAGCACTTTAGACCCAGCAGAGAGAACGGCGTGAGTGTCAGAAGGGGCTGTCACATCCAAACGATAAAACTGTACAAATCTATGTCGTGAAGACCAGTTGTTTGCTGCTTGGATTTCACTTATGAGCCCCCCTTTAAATAGTGCCATACGAGGTTGCTACCCCTCGGTGGTGTGAGCCCTTACTTCTTAAGTCATAGGGACACCCTTGCTGCTGTCAGCTAGAGAAATTGGCTCCACAATCCAATGAGAGAGCCTCTGTCAGGACAGAGCTTTCCCCCTTGCAGGGTTAGCAACACAAACAAACAGTTGATCACACAACCTCACATCCTGTGTGCCATCATTGTAAATGTGTGATGCACGTACAGAGCACACAAGATGTGACATACTTCTGTCTACAGATGTAAAAGGAGGAAAAAAGCTAGAAAGCTCTATAGTCATAGAACTAGTCTGAAAGTACGACCTTAGGGAGATAACTGCATTAGGTCGCAATGTGACTTTACAACCATCAGGAGAAAAAGGAATTTAGGTAGGATTCACAGACAAACATGGACGTCCCCAACACGCTTTGTAGTCATCAGAACAAGAAGTATATCAACCTTACATGAAAGAAACTTTATATCTATTGAATCCGAAGGTTCGATTGGAGGATCACAATGGGCTTCAAGTACCACTGTAAGATCCCAGGAAGGAAAACTGTGTTGAAACACAGGTGTGAGTCGGCCAACCCCCTTTAGAAAATGTAGTCTAAGCATGAACGCTTGGCATGACTCCATTAAAACCAGTATGACAGGCAGAAATAGTGGCTAGGAAGACCTTAATTGTTGAAAAGCAAAGCCTTTATAGAGCACTTCCTGTAGAAATGTTCAAATGTCTACCACTGAGCAATGAAATGGAACAACATGCTTAACTTCACACCACTGCTCAAAAGCTTGCCATTTGTGAGCATATAAGCCTCTAGTGGATGATGCTCTTGCGTTCTGGATTGTTGCCACCACAGCAGGGGGTAGGCTCTTATCTAATAACGTGGACCTTTCAGCAGGCAGGCATGCAGCTTCAACAACACTGGGTTGGGAGGACATATCTGACCCCCACCTGAGTGAGGAGATCTTGGCAAGTGGGGAGTTGCCAGGGCTCTGCTGCCAGTCGACTGATTATATCGGCATACTATGAATTTGCTGACCAACATGGTGCTAGCAAAATCAGGGACAGGCCCTGTTTGCGTACCCCTTCTAGCAAAGGTAGCATCTTTTTCACTGGAGGAAATACATAAAGGATGGGTTTATGTATGGCCTTGGGTGGTATAGCCCAAAATGTAGCACCTCTTTGGACTGGGAACTCCGAACAATAGCAAAGCACCTTTTGGTCACCTTCCAACAGCTGGTGAGCATGTCTCCCAGCTCCTGGGACCCTTAAGCCTCCAGTCCGACAGCTAGGAGGACTGCATCTTTTTCTTCTGGGATGTTAAATCTCTCCAAAGTCCCGATGGAAGGCCCTTGCTCCACACCATTGGCCGTGGTTCTGTGGCTTAGCAGGTCGTGGGGCTCATTTTCAAGGGCCACAATATGCTCTATGGTGGAAGTGGTGGTACGGTCAGGTTGCAAATGCCGGAGCTGGATTTTGGCCTCCTGTCCCATCTTGGAATAATGCAATGCATTTCGGCTGTATGGTCTCGAGTCTGGCTTTTTCAGATCGAGATATTGTCCAAATTCTGTTACTATGACGTGGGAGAAGAGTGGCTTGCTCCATAAAGATTTCAATTCCGACACAAAGTCTGGGAACATGGATTGGCGGTTTTTAATCATGGCCGGCTCCAAACGGAGATAAAACCTTGCAAATGGTTTCTCAGCAGGAGGTGGAAAGGGCCACTTTATGTCCAGCTGTGCATTTGCACGGTGGTATAGTGAGACAAAAGGCCATGTCGTCCTGGTTCTCTGGTGCAGTGGCGGCAGCAACCTGATGCAGTGAAGACTTGTCTTCGTCCTAAGACAGATCCTGGATGTCTATGCTGATGTCCCTATGAACATGTCCTCGTCAACTGTGACCGAGCATCTTCATTGTTGGCTAACCCTTCCATATATTCCATCTGGACTGCCCAGCGAGGAATGGGGACATCAGCTAAAAGGTTGTCTTCATCGGAATCAGACAAAACAGGGTTTCCCGACTTAGAGAGCAATGGGTCTTCCTGTGAGACAGCAGCCTCTCCCAGCACGTTCTCTAAAAACCTAACCCATCTCTCCAGGGTAGCGCATCGAAACTGGTGACAGAATACACATGGTTCGGGCTCCACCAACACACTCCGAGTGAGAATGATCCCCAGACACATGGGTGAGCCTTTGTGCTGGTCTTTGTCATGAATTGAGAAGCCACAGCCCTGAGGACAGGAGCTAAACAAAGACTTCTGATGTGTTTTTTGTTTACTTTGTGTTCATCCTGAACCAGTGAGCTGAAGAGTGTAAAATTGGAGTAATAAGACTTGAGTTTGGCTAGCAGGTGAGATTAGAAGTGGCTTCAGCCATGATACGTGATATCTGATATTTAATTGTTGTGAATTGACTGAAAGGGAACTTATAGAATATTGCAGGTATTTTATGTGAATGGCCAACACAAGAAAGCCAAGCCATGACGATAATCAATAACACACATACGGCTGAAGGACTAATCGATTTTATCGATTAATCAGATATTTTGTTTATAAAGATTTAAAAATCTGTATTTCCATCCATCCATTTTCTTACACACTTATCCCAATTGGGGTCGCGAGGGGTGCTGGTGCCTATCTCCGCTGCCTACGGGCGAGAGGCAGGGTACACCCTGGACAGGTCGACAATCCATCGCAGAAAAATCTGTATTTTTTAAGCTAATAATTTTCTTAGGCTTCCATAGCTCACAGTAACATCAGTTCATCACTTTTTGTTCCTAGACGTGTCCTTATAACTAATAATCTAGCTCACTGTGTGATACAACCAGCTGTATTTTCATTGGTTACTAAGACATAAGACTTATTTTTGCCCATGAATATAAGACCACCTCCCAGTGGGGATGATCGAACACAGTTTATATTATTTGGCCTTTTTTTATTGTAAAACTTATGGAAGACAAAATAATCGATGAATCTGAGATTAAGTTTTAAGGGGTATTGCAAGGCCCTACATGTAGTTTTCAATGTTCATATACAAATATGAATACGAAAAGTGTAAAATGCATTTGTATTCAGCCTCCGTTTACATGACTCCTCCAAATAAAATTTCAGTTCAACAGTTACCTTCACAAGTAATGTAATTAACTAAAAGAATAAAACTCTATGTAATCTAATATCAATGTAAACATAGCTTCTTTGTGATGACCTTAAAGATTTGTTAGAAAACATTGGTAAGCAAATAGCATTATGAAGACAAAACACAGCAGATAGGCCAGGTAGGAAGCTGTGGAGAGGTTTAAATAAGATTCAGGGTTTGGTCAGAAATCACATCCTAAACCTTGAAAAACTGACAGAGAAGTGCTCAATGCATCATTAAAGAAATGGAAGATAGTTTGGCTCCAGGGCTGAACTATAGGAAAAAAGGGTGAGATAGAAATATCATGAGCTCTAAATCTATATTTTCCTCACTCTTCTCTCTCATCTGTTATTGAGGTTCCCTTCAACACTTTGTGTAACCTTTAGTATCATTGGCCCTATTAGTGTTCAATGTGTGATTTTCTGTTGCTGGTATACAAAGGATCCTCACTCTTGGAATATGTTAGCTACCTTTTTTTGTGCCAAACAATCATTACAGTATTGATACTGATGTGATGATGACTATGATGCCCTGCATAGCAAAACGGTAGATCTACCAATACATGGCTGTAAGCCTAAATTGATAGGCAAGGCCAATTTGGAGAAACAGCCAAGAGACCCATGATTTGCAGGGACCCCCAGTTCAGAATGAAGAAGCTGTGAATTGAAAATTGTATGTGTAATGGAAAATAAAATAGTACATCTTCCTAAACCTAATGGCACTCCACTATGAAACCTGGTAACGGCAGAATCATCCTGTGGGAATCCCTTTCATCAGTATGGAACAGGAGTTAAATGGGAATTTGGATGCAAATTAAGCATAGAGGAATAATGGAAGAAAACTGCTAGAGGAGGAAGTTTTAAACCTAAAAAGGGTGTTAACCTTAAACAGGACAAACACCTTAAACAGTCAACCAGAACTGCAGTATGATGGTTCAAATTAAGACTGCAACTAAGTATTATTTTTGCAAATCCATTAATCTAATAATTAATCCATCAATTATTAATCATTTAATAATTGGATAGCCAAATATTCCTTATAGAAGAACAGGTGAAACTGTTTATTTATATATATATATATATATATGCACTACAATTTTGATATAATTACTACTCTAATGCTAAAGGCATATTTTACAGTCTCCATACTCCAGTTAACAATTAATTGATTACTAAATTAGACGATTATTTCCACAATCGATTAATCAGTATTATGGTATCATATATTGGTATGGTCCAGAATTAAATCCACCTCAATGTAACTCACATAACCTTAAACTGCTTTACAGAAAAAAATAGCACATTGTCTCTTACATTTCGCAAGGAAATTATAGCTATGTACAATTCTGACACATGTCAATGCTACACTTTTAAGATTTGTGTTTGCAAAAATCTTAAAAACCCATGCATGATTTTTCTTGTATTTTTCAGTCCTGCAAAACCTTTTGCTGGTCAGTAACATAAAATCCTAAAAAATGACATTGAAGTTTAACATCCGAAAATGAGAAGAGGTTATAGATAAATGTGCTAGATATTGCTTTTTTTTGTTTTGTTTTACTAGCTCTGATGCCCACTGATGAGATGCAGAAGTTTCATAGTGATGATTTCTTGACTGATTTCTAAGAAGACTGTTACCATGAAATTCAACAATTTCTCATACAGTGCATAATTCCTGAAAAATTAATTTTCAAAGTATAATTTCTGCACAAAGTTAAATCCTTATCCCAACATAATAATCACTGCCACTCAAGCCAATTTGGTATCTTGGGTAATTTACATTAAAATTAATGATTGACAGGTCAAAACTGTAGTGTTATAAATACTGTAGATAAAGCAAACAGTATAACAGTACATAAATATGAAGTAAATATGTAATATCTTTTCAGTTCCTAGTAAAGGAGATATTTTATAAAATAGAAGTGCTTTAGTAAAATACCTCGGCCGGGTATTTTCCATCAGTAGAAAAGAGCATATTTAAATTTAGCAGCAAAGGAATATGAAAGGCTTTGGTGCTCTAAGGCAAAGAGAATTCAAATGATGCCCGGCTCTGTGTTTGAAGTAAAAGAGGTTTGATAAGATTCATAACCAGAGGTGTTTTTTATTTATTTTTCTTTTCCTTCTGGTGGCACTCAGACTGCAAAATTAGTTCCAGTCTGATTTTCTAGAAGATTGACTGTGGCCACAACAAAGACTGAAACCTTGTGCCCGTGTCTGATTTCAAACTCTGCAGACTCTGAGTTTTGAAGATCAGGGACAGCAAAAGGGAGGGCGCTCTGCCTTTTGTTTTTGCTCGTTGTCGGTGTGTAAAATCGTCATCCTTCTGGCTCATTACCTTGGCCTTTGATCACTCAGCGCAGAACATTCTGTTCAAGGATTAATAATTATTTTGCAATTAAAGGCTGGAGTTATCCTTAGGCGCTTGCTTCTGACTCGCGCCTGTTGCAGAGCACTCTAGCTGGCAGATTGGAGCTGAATATTTCTGTCAGTGTCTGTTTGATGGAAACAAATAAGGACTGTCTCGCTGGAGGGTGCTTAGAATAAAAATGGAGGAAAAAACATCAACTGTGAGCGTTATCAGACTATTTGTGCTCACACATGATTTTCTCTGTGTTTTTCTTTTCCCACCGATACACACTCTCACTATGTCCCTCCCATATAATTGACTGTTAAAAATAGATGCATTGGTTCCTTGTAATTGCTCCGTTTAACCCAAAGCTTCTTCGGTCTTTTCTCTCAGCCAATAAGCACAAGCCATGGATCGAGACAGAGTACCAGGGGATTGTCATGGAGAACGACAACACCGTCCTGCTCAATCCCCCTCTCTTTGCTCTGGACAAAGATGCTCCACTTCACTATGCTGGTAATACCACCTACATCAATAATAATAATACAGTTTATATGAGTTTTGTTTTTTTATATACACTGTTAAATCTCTTGAAAATCAGAAATTTACATACATTTCCATTTAAATGATACAATTTAGGTCAGTCAGAAACAGTTTCCTTCTGCGAGCCTCATACAAAAGTTTTCTTAAATATTGATCCATTACCCCTGTGGTGTATCTGACTCTGGTTTTTATGCAGCCCTGCTTTAAAACACTAATGATTATATATCCACTGATCTTTTGGACTGAGATTAGGACATTGTGATTACCATTTACTACCATTAAGAGCGCCTCTAAGCTGCTAAGGGTCGTTGTCCGGTTGGGAAACCCATTTGTTGTCAAGTTTTATAGCCTTCTTGCTCATGACATCATCTCTTATGCAACATGCACCAGCCCTTCCTGCTGTAAAAATAGCTACACAACATCAGAGGTGGGAAGAGTACATCCAAAAAATGTACTTGAGTAAAAGTAGCACTGCTTCAACATATTTCTACTTGAGTAAAAGGCAGCCGTCTAATTAATTACTCAGGTAAGAGTAAAAAAAAGTACATGGTAAAAAGGCTACTCCAGTGCCGAGTAACTGTGTACTATTTAAAATGACCTAAATCAGACAGACCATAACATTATGCACAAATTCCTTATGTTTTTTCACAATAAAAGAAAGTAATAAATACCAACACAAAATGAGGGATAAAAAGAATTCAGGTAGAAACACTCATCAAAATCCAAGTTTTATCATATAAGAGAATCGAAATAGAAGAATAGGGTAACATATGAAAACATTTCCTAAAGTATGTGAAAGATGCATGATGGAACAGGGTAAACTACCTCCACTGATAAGATTTTTTTTCTGTATATAATCTTCACCTAGAGTCTCAGCAGAAAAAAAAGTAACCTTAAAATAAAAAGGATTGCGTATAAAGAAAATACTTATTTTAGTAAAACTTAAAGTGTCTGCCTGTGTCTGTTGTATTTTAGGTTTAAATGTGCCTCTTATTTTTTCATTGAAGTTACCCACAAGTTACTGGCCAAGTTAGAGTAGCGATATTTCATGATAATATTGTGTAAAAGTGAGGTGCACTAAAACTACTCCTAAAAGTATACTTTTATCAGTAAAATACTCAAGCAAACAAAACTCAATAAATGGAGCTATTTACCACCTACCTCTGCGCAACATGATGCTGTCATCGATGATGTTATGGGCCCCTTGTCCTGAGCCCGAAACATCATCAATGACCCCTCACACCCCCACCATGGACCGTTGTCTCCCGGCTGCCATCTGGGAAGAGGCTTCACAGCATTCAATGCAGGTCCAGCAGATTCCTAAACAGCTTCTTCTCCACCGCCATCAGACAGCTGAACTGTTGAAAAAAACTCAAAATCATGTCACAAAATCTGCATCACACTGATAACCCCAAACCAAAATACTGCATATTGCCTATCTCCCATGCTGTTTACATTTAATCACTACTGCACTTTATGGAATGGAAAGGTTCTTAAAGCTGTACAAAACAAAATTTGTTTTTGTGTACACTCTGTTTACAAAATGACAATAAAAGTTGTCTTCTAACAGTGAGGATAGTGTTCAGATGTGTAATCTTAATTATTCACACGTCACTACATCAGGATGTAGCAATTGTATTTATGGCTAAACATCTTAACTTTTCTTTCATTAGACCTAAGGATTTATCTATAAAATAACATATATGTGCTACAGTCTATTTTCAAACTGTTTTTTTTATGTTGCTTTTGGATTAATGGCTTCTTCTTCTCTGAGTGGCATTTCTGCCAATGGGGGTATAGGACCCAGTTCACTGTGGCTAATAAGATGCTCTCATCAGTTGTAGCTAGCACCTTCAAAAGGCCTTTTTTATTATTTGGTTCTTGGGTTGATTCACACATTCACACCATAACAGAGGTGCCCCTCCATTCAAAGGCAGATTACACATACTATGATGCAGATTAAAGTATAAATGTGTGAATTTGAAGAAGCAACACATAAAAAATAAAAAAAAATCTAAGATTTTTCTGGCATTTCCTATATACAAATAATTTTGGGAATGTATGTCTAGCTAAAACAGAAATCTTATTTAATGCTGGACAAAAGAAGAGGTTATTGTATGTATTTTCTATACTGTCTAAGGAAATGTTTATTACAAATAAAATCATAATTCTAGACCATTTTTTCAGTTATTGACCCCCAAGATAAAGAAACAATCTAATTTCATATGAATAAATGGTGCCGTCATGTGATGATCTAATGATGTGTTTTATTTTTGTTTCCTTCATTGCATTGGGCTTTTAGTAGTAAATGACACATATTTATTTTTTCCATTTAGGGCTATAATACTCCTGGCATCAGCAATATTTCCCCAAAGACTCCCTAAATATTAAAGGCAATGTGTTCAGAAAAATAGCCCTCTATTTTTAGCCCATCAGTGTAATTCAAGCCTTTGCTGCAGGAGCAATCAGCAAGCGCTGTACTTCTCTGCAGCCTGATGAAATCAGGTGATCACGTTTTCACTCCCAGTCCTGGAAATAACCACGTTCAGTAAAATTATGGACGATCAACTTGAATTACTACAGGCCTTCCTGAAATATATTGAGCCAGTGTCACGACGGAAGAGGAAATTAGCTGCTTGAGCACAAACCTTTGACTTTCACCAGCCGATAGTAATCTGCTGCTATTCTGAGCTTTTTAATTTTCAGTTGCTGTTGCAGTTGTTTTTTTAATCTGTTCCATGAATAAAGGACTTTTGAGATAAACGCTTACATAAAAGGCATCTCCAGATATCAGTTTAGTTTATTCTACATTAGATTGCTGCAGATTTATCATAATATAAACAAGTTTAGTGTATTGGATGCCTTATTGTTAAACTTCTGTTTTTTTTGGAGATTTAGTGGCTTGAATTTAGATTATACTTCTCTGAGGTATTATTGTATACAAGCTAGGGCTAAACAAATAATCAGATTAATTGATAAATCAATTATGGAAATAATCGTCAGCTAATGTAGTAATCGATTCATCGTTAACTGGAGTGTAGAGACTCTAAAACGTGTCTTTAGCTAACAGAGCAACCCACTTAGAGCAGCAATTTTACCAAAAATATATAAACATTTTGCTTTTAGGATAAAAACACTTGTTTTTCTGTCCAGAAAACCTCAAGTGGAAAAGTTTTGGTATCACCTGGTATAATTTAGTGAAAAGTCTACTTTAGGGAACCTTTCGCTATCCGATTATTTATCGATCAATGGAAAAAATTATCGATTTGCAAGATAATCGTTGGTTGCAGCCCTAGTATCCAGCAATAATAAATAAATAAACTATATTTATTCAAAACATGGAAAAGACAACATAACACATCTTGTAAGAAATGCATCTGTTAAAAAATATATGGATGCTTTTTTTTCCCAACAAGATGTTTAACAAGCAGGAAGAGAGGCAAACAAAACAGGAAAATGTTCTTTGTCAGTAACAGGTCAGTAACACAAGTGGGTCTAAAAGGGAGATCCCACAGAGACCAAGTCTTTTCAAAGATAAGCAGAGGTTCTCTGTTCTTTGAAGGACTGCATATTTAAATAATTTAGTGGTTTCAGAGAGAAAGCTTCTTCCCACTGTCAAAACCCAACACCAGGAATAGGATCGCTCCATGAGGTTTTAGCCTGTCTTCATGGTTTAGGATTATATTATCATAATTTCAAATAATAGTGTTTTTAATACATTTATTCAACAGGGAAATAGAACATTGCAAGGAAATTTTGTTTTAAAACAAAATCATTTTTTCTGCAACTAGTATCTTCCCAAATGATTCCTGTAAAATAATTACAACTGAAGCATTTTAGTTCCTATATATGTTTATCCAAAGAATTTTGGACAAAAATTAAATAAATATAAAATATATAGTTGAGTGTTCTCCATTAGGAAAATTAGAATCAGCTTTATTAGCCAAGGTCGTTAGCACAAATGAAGAATTTGCAAACATTCAGCATAAGCAAACATCAATCATGACTATATACACTTTAAATACAAATAATTGCAGTAGTACAAATAAATGTGTTGCCATTTTTTTTTCATTAAATCAGTACAATAGCTGACCAATCAGGCTGTAAGGTGTTCAATGTGTTCATCAGAGAGTTTTGGCTTAATTAATGCTCTGAGACCATTGCTCGTTCAGCTTTGATTATTGAATTAATCGACGATTATCTTTGTAATCAATTAATCATAATTAATCCAATTAACGGTTGTAGCAATTATTCTTTGTTGGCTCACACATGTAACTAACGAGTGACACAAAGTTTTGCTGGTCCGCCATTCAAACCAGAAGCAATGAAGCACAAGTCCAGACAATCCCACACTTTTTTCTAGTCAACCAGTATGTTATTAACAAGGGTCAAAATCAGCACTGGGATGTAATTACACTTATTAAGACCACTGTGATGCATCACTGCTTACACCTACACCTTTTAAAATATTTTCCAAAGCACTCCTTGTGCCATGGATAAAATCAACCCACTGTTATACTAATTAAACTTACCTACAATTAGAATACAGTACTGCAGCACTGCATTTGTTATCAGCTTGATAAATGCCATCAATAGATCACCGGACTGTTTAATAATCTTTTGAACAATTTTTAGTAATTTCACACAAATAATAAACAATTTGCCTGATTGAATGAACTGACCGAGTGCTTCATAAAAGAAGAGGAAATCAGCAGCCATTATTCAGGAGGAGGCTGGGCAAAAGCTGTTCTCATAAATAACGCATAATAATCAGGAGAAAATAAGATGTAACCTTAATTTAAAAGCAAATGTCTAACCGTTTATGTATATATATATATATATTTTTTTTTAAAGTGTCCTGTCCGGCAATAAGAATTGTTGTCTTAATGCCAGAAAGGCGCAACAGATTCTACTCTCACAAGTGGAGCAATACCGCTTTTGCCATAGTGCTCCTCTTGCTTTATATATGTAAATAGTTTTATTATAGTTTATGTAGGAAATAATTCATGTTATGTGAACACTACATTGACAAAGTAGAAGAGGAGAGAGAAATTAGAAGAAATGGGAGAAAAGGTGAAAGAAAGAGAAGAGAAAAGAGAGAGATTGACAAAACTTCATTAGTCAGCTTCATCACCTGCAAAGAGCGATGTAAAAATAACAGCACATCCAACTGATATAGAACCACAGCTACAATACAGCAACACCTTGATACCATCACTGAAGTATATACAGTATTATTCAATACCAAATGTATAAAGTGGTAGCTGATGATAAAAATTGGTTAGTATGTAAGAAACCGGATCCAAGCTCCTGTAAGTGTATGTGAGAGTGCACGTTTATCATATAACTGATGCTGATGTATTGCTATTCTTATCCCAGGTGAAATCTGTGGCTTTCGGGTTCATAATGGCCCCTCTGGCTCTGGTTCAGTCCAGTTTGAAGCCGTGGTTCTGGATCGCTCTACCGGTGAGGGTCTGGTCCGGTCAAAAGAGCCACTGGACTGTGAGAGCCAGCGGGAGCACAGCTTTACCATCCAGGCTTATGACTGTGGCGAAGGACCTGATGGAGTCAACAGCAAGAAATCACACAAGTTAGACTCTTTCCAGTCATTCTTTTACCAATAATCACATTCAGTAGATCTGCTGTAATAAGTCTCCAGCTTCCTGTAGGGAGATCATATTATCTATCTGCTTCTGCTTGGCCTCCCACTCCTCCTCCCCTTCCCCTCAGGGCCACTGTACATGTTCGTGTGAACGACGTCAACGAGTTCTCCCCGGTGTTTGTGGAGCGTCGCTACGAGGCTTCAGTCCCAGAGGGCCGTCTGTTTGACAGGATCGTGCGGGTGGAGGCTCTGGATGCCGACTGCTCCCCGCAGTACAGCCAGATCTGCTTCTATGACATCATCACTCCCAATGTGCCCTTTGCTATTGACAACGATGGTGAGATGGCTTACAGTCGCACACTCAAAGAGCTTTGGAAAAAAAAATTACTGTGCTGCACAAAAACATTCACACCCCTTTAACCTTTTTTAATTAGTTTATAACTGAACATTGAATTGGAGTTTATTACAATTTGATGTGATGGAGGACAAACACCAACCAGTGCATGTTTGTAAAAAGGAAGGAAAATTATGTTTTAGCCCTCTTTTTTCTAATATAACTAAATGAAATCAGATGGAACCAAGTTGTCTCTAAATGTAAACTAATATTACTAAAATAGTACTAAAAGTACAAAGAGTATTTCTCAGAAATAGTGTTGTGGAAAAGCTGGGAAAGTAAATTGTAAGAAATTCAGAAAACAAGAAAATGTATAGGAAAAAAGTTTATATTGACAATGCTGGTGAAGATTCTCAGCCATCCAGGTTATAGTCATTCCAAAAAAAAGTTAAAAAACATTCCACTGAACTTTGTTTCCAAGTTTGAAGACGTACTGCTTCCCATCCAGGAAGCTTTTTTAATTCCAAAATCTTCACATCTCTCCAGCTTGAATTGAAAAAGCTTCCTGAATGGGATGCGAAACGTCTTTAAACTCGGAAACAAAGCCTCATGGATTGTTTTTTAACTTTTTTGGAATTTATATTGACAACCTCTAAATTATTTACTGCAGTCTTTTTAGGGTTAACTCTAAACTTTTTCTTTATTGCTGGAACTGGATCAAAAGTGACCTTGATTGGGTGTGGTGGTGGTGCAAGGGTTAAGGGTGTGACCCATGCTTTGATGCTTTGGTCCTTGACTGTGCTGTCGCAGGTTTGAGGCCCAGCCGCATTTTTTCCCCCCTCTCTCTAATCCCATTTAATGTTTGCCTACACAAATAATGAAATAAAGGCCACTAGTGCCTAAGAAAATCTTAAAAGTGTCCCTGAACAAGTTTTAAGTGTTGCACAGAGTTCCAATGTGATGTAGGTCTAAACTTTGACTGGGTCATTCCATTGAAGCTCCGGCTGCAGTAAAATTTTGCAGCCCTTTGTGGGTTTATTTCACTATTTTGTTACTTCTGTCTCTCTTTCCATCCTCTATCGCCATGTTTAGTTATTGGACTGGTGTTTAACCCTGGGAGTTTCCAGGGTTAAGTACAATTATGTACTTAAATGTGACTGAAGCACCTTAGTCCTCCATTTGGGCTTTTCTTGGTTTTGACTTTTTTTTTGCGTTTTTTTAACAAAAAACGTTGTAAAAATATCTAGAATTTTTCTCCATACGTGATAAGAGTATGTGGAGAGAGTATGAAACATGATGCCTAACTCTTACAATCAAACAAGTAAAAAAAAAAAATCAGATAATATTTATGCAGTGGAACATTTAAGAGAATTATTATAAGTCTTCAAGCCTCAGGTACAAATAACGAGGTGTTAAAATAGACTTTGTGGGGGTGGACCTTGTTTTCCGTTTCTACAAAATCTCTTCTACAGCTGTTTGGTTTAATATAGCTCAGTTTTTTTTTTTCTTTCTAGCTCATTAGTTTCTATGGGTTTTTCAGTCCCTTGTTGCACAGTGGGGGCTCGGTTGTTGCTGGATTGGAAATGTGACCCAGAAGCTGAAGAGACCCTGTAATAGAATGACTCTGCAGAATTTTCCAGATCTGGAAGGGCTCTGTAGAAGATGAGCAGCTTCTTTCTGTTTTCACACGGTGATCTATTGTTCTTGTTTTGATGCATTTCTTTTGTTTTTTGCATCGCCTTTTCTGTTTCTCCCTTTGTTTTTCATCTGTTTGTGTCAAAGCATCTTCTCCCCCTTACCTGCGGTTTGTCAGGCAGCATGCAGGGTGCTGTCAGCTCTTCACAGATACTCACTTTGTTCACCCTTATCTATAAAACCAGGAAAAACCCATCTGTTTTTAACCTGCTCCATGTTATTTATCTTTCTTTTTTGGTCTGAAAGAGAAGCTTTAAACACTCTTCTGACTTCGTTAGAGCACACACGAAGCTTCAGGAGTTTTTTTTTCCACAGAGTTGAATAAGCTCGTTGTTGGTGACTAACCCTCTATTTCTCTTTCTATTTTTCTCATTATGTCGTGTCCTCTTTGTCCTTCTGTCTCCTAGGTAACATTAAGAATACAGAGCCTTTGGATTCCAAGCAGCAGCGTGTTCACACCTTCTGGGTGACCGCCTTTGACTGTGGGAAGAACCGTGCGCAGGCTGATGCCCAGGTTGTTGTCACGGTTAAGCCGTCCTGCAAACCCGGCTGGACTGGTACTCACTCCTTTTTCTGCCTTGGATTTTATTCTGTAGTTACTCCGTGGAGGCGTTAGACGTGTGATTTTGTTGTTTCATTCAATAATTTTTGGATGAAATTTCCACTTAAAGTTAGAAATGAGTGGGCAGCTATTCGGCTTAATCATGGTTGCATCATTAGACCATGAGCTGTGTTGCAAATCATCTTAAGGCTTTGTAAAATAACAGGGAGATGATTAAATGATATATCACTCACTTATGTTTATTTGTATCATGCCAATTCACCACAAAAATCCTCTCTACAGGTCTTACAAAACCAGCCTCTCCTGTTATCAGGAACTGCATTTGATCTACATTCAGTTAATCTGTCTATCAGAATCAGTCAAACATTGTCTAATTTTGTTTTAGCTGCAATCTTATGCAGGAAATATCATATCATTTAATACCATTTTTTTAAGAACATATTTATCTAAAGAGACCCAGTCAGTTATATGAGCCACTGATCTTACAGCAATCCCTCATCCTGTGCAAGCATGTGGCAAAAGTGGGGAGGAACTACTTTCTTGTACTGGGAAAAAACTTGAAATAGAGCTAGGTGAGCATCAGTGGCCATTTAGAACAACCAAAAGGGGTTTAAAACATATTTCAAATACTTGCAAAAGAGTTGAGCATTGAGCCATGAAATGACATACTTTCTATTGTAAAGTCTAAACAAAAAACAAAAAAACGGATCTAATGGTGACTATAGCTCCGTCAGCGGCTCTATTCAGGAAAGAGACAAAGTCAAACATAGAATCACAGAATTAAGTCCACTTTTTTTGAGAAAGAAAAACCAAGTTAATAGTAACAATGACTGTTAATGGCTCCAAATGGGAGAAACACAACTAATCACAGAGCTAGAAGTAGAAAACTACTAGACATAGTTGATGGAGATAAAAAAAAGTACCTTTAGTAGTTTTTCCCTTAAAAATTATGCACATTAACACAGCATTACTGAACCAGGGGTTCCTTCTATAGAAATCAGGAAAACAATCATCTCACCTGCTCCTCCATCCCTGGCTTCATCCAGAAGAAAACACAGCTAGACATGGAAGTAATGTTCAAGGAAAACTCAAAGAGAATATTCAAACAAAGAGAATATTCAAAGACAATGGTATTCTCTCAATAGCCTTGACCCAGGAAAAGAAAAATGTTTAAACTCTGAATCACTTAGTACTCTTATATGAACAAAAAACGAGTACTCACTCCACTTCTGGCTTCAAAGGTTACTCTCTCTGTCTGCTAGAGCTGTAGGTGCATATATGTTTACCTGCCTGCAAACACATTCAGGGTGAGTCTGAGTCGATGGCACAGTCCACCGTGGAGGGGGCCGACACTGTGGGTGCTTTTAATTGTTTTCACTAAGTTTTCATTGCGCTGCCTCAGACAGGTCTTTCACGTTTATGTGCAAGTAAGCAAGTAAACACTATTTCTGTGGCCTTTAGGCATTAAATTTGGTGAGAAAGCCTAATTTCATCATAATTGTGATAATTTTCAGCTTACTGAGCTGTTGCACTGAAATGAGCTGGTGAGAACCCTAGGAGAGTGAGCCCAGATGTCAGTCAAAAGGCCTATAGGATCACAAAAAAGAGCTTATTGGACTAACTTCAGCGAAGCAGTGATAACTTTCAGTGGCAGTCTACTACATGTTGAGGAAAACCCTGAGAGCAAAATGTATAGAAAGCATAAAGCTAATTTCATCAACATTAAACGGAGAGAAAACTGAAAGAAAATCACAGCTCTAGCAGCTTAAACACATAAACTTTGACATTGTATTTGTTCATTTGTTCAATTATACGCTATTACAATGACATCAAAGTTGAAGAAACAGTTATGACAGTAAAGCTGTAAAGATTTCATAACAAAGAAATGTTAAGAAGATGGAGGAAGTAAGAAGTCTCCAAATCTTAGGATAAAGTATTCCCACAAAGAAAAAAATAGAGACCAATGCATCCCTTGTAGTATCTGTGTCAGTATGTGTATGAAATGAAAGATCTATGAAATATCTTGTTTATTTTGTAAAACATCAACAGACTGTGGTTAAAAGAAATGATGAAATTCTTTGCAATGCACAATTTCTAAGCTGTCATACATTTCAAAATGAGCAAATTTTTTTAAAGCTTTGATATCATGTCTCTGTGTTGTTTTTATTCAAATGTAGTCTTTGCATAAGTTTCCAGATGTAGCTTTGTGTTCTCTAGACAGAGTTATGTTATCCATTGGATCTTAAAATCCCCCCATCCAGTGTAACATCAGAGTCGTGTTGTAAAATGTAAAATTCTGATCCACTCCTTTCGATTTAAGGATGGACAAAGCGTGTGGAGTACACACCCGGATCAGGCAGCATTCCCCTGTTCCCCAGCCTGCATTTGGAGACCTGCGAAGAAACAGTGTGGAACATCCAGGCCACCGTAGAACTTCAGACCGGCCATATTGGGAAGGGATGTGACAGAGACAGCTACTCTGACCGATCTGTTCGCCGACTCTGTGGTAAGTTTGAAGTTTAAATCCAAGAATCAAATTAATCTAGAAGGGGATAATAATTTAAATGACATAAAGAGAAAACATTAAGAAAGGAAAAAAGGAGAAAAGGAAATATAAATATATCATTTTGTTAAGGCATTTTTAAAATGTCTTTAAAAACAGGTGCCGTCAGGGGCGAAGTGGACCTCCTCCCACCTCCGTCTCCGGCAGCCAACTGGACTGCAGCTCTTCCCACTCTCCCTTCTTCTGATTCTTCTCTGGTCTTCTCTTTTAACGGGTCGAATCACGTTGCAGTGGTTCCCAACTCAGTTGTGTCCGCTCTGTCAGGTGACCACTTCACCCTCCAGCTGTGGATGCGTAGGGGTGGCGCCAACATCCAGCCTTCAACTACTCAGTCCAGAGCAAATCGCAAGGACGAGGAAACTATTGTGTGCAGCACAGTAAAGAATGGTGTGTAATGGCTTTTTTTTTTTTTTTAATAATCCTTTTGTTTTGCAGGTATTTATGGCTTTGATGCAACGCAGTGTGAAAATGGCTAAATGCATGGTCATATTGTGCAAAGTAAAAAAATTTTTTTTTTTTTTTACTGTTTCTGCATTAAAGCTACAAAGAATCAAACAAATTACAGAGTAAATAAAAATAAATAATTCATTTTTGATTTGAATGAGCACCTTGCACAAAAACACAAACCTTTACTTTAAATTCACATGACTCCAATTTAAATCAATTGCATGACTTTATTCTCTGGAGCAATAAAACCAGCAATTGTCTTTTTATTCCTCTGCTCTACAGATGACTCCTACTCTCATTATTCGCTTTCCGTCCACGGCTGCCGCCTTTCCCTCTTCTACTGGCCCGATGTCTCAGCTGCACGGCCCGTCAAGTTCCTCTGGAAGCTGGAACAGGTGCTGGAGAAATCTTCTTCCCTTGTTTCTAATTGTTTCCCATTTATTTCTATCCAGAATATCAAATAAAACCGGGGAGGTTTAGTAGTTAATTTCCTTTCTACAGCATGGTTTGTGTATAATCTTTGATGTTACGTGCTGCAGTATGAAGATTGAACGTATTTTCCCTCTTATCTCTAAGGCTTTTTATAGAGTAACTGCTTAATTTAAACGTTTCATGCTGTGTGCATCATCCATCATTTGAAGCTGCAGTCTGACTAACGGATTGTGCAATTATCTACCTGTGAAAGGATAACAAAAACCAGGACAGAATTCAATTTGTGTATCGGTCAGACAGCTTTTCTTCTATTTTCTACATTTGTTTTCAGTCCGATATAAAGATATTAGCGTTTAGTTTCCGGTTTCATTATCTCCCACACGTTTCTCTTGCTATGATGAGAGCCATCAGCAGTTTTTAGCTATAATTAATAATTTCCTTTATGTATGTGAAATCAAATGCTATAAATTGGCTCCAGCTGCAGGATTTATACCAGTAAGAACCTCTCAGTCTGATAAAATGACTGCTTTTGCTGTTCATGCTACATCTCTTTATGTCCTGCATTATAACGACAACAAATAAACATACATTTGCACAAGGAGAGGCAAATATTTCAACAGCCACAGCAATTAGCAAGCAAACAAATTTTCCATCAATGCATTTATTACTAGCCTTGGTCACATAGATGCTTAAATAATTTGCTTTTTTTTTAGATTTAGTTATAAAACGTATATGTTTATATAGATGATTAAGTTCAGACATCCGTTCCACAATATTTTCAACCTTGATGTATCTGTGAAGCAGCTTGCCACCCTTGCTATAAAGCCTTAAAAAACATTATACTTTTATTACAGTAGGAAAAACTGACACTTGAAAATTATTACTGGTGGTGTTGCAATGTTTTATACCTTCATACCTGTATGGTTTGCGTCCCTTGGGTATAAATGAGCTTTAGTTCAGTTACATTTAGCAGCCGGCTGCTTGGCTGGATGAGAGTCCAGGATTTTGTGCCAACAGCAAGCAGTGAGCGGGTTAGTGAGGGAGATAAAATGATCTCTAAAGCTCACAGGTCTCTATAACAACTTATAATCAATGTTTTTGTCCTACAAACATAAACCTGTGGAGTTCACTAAACCCTGCTGGAATGATCTGGGTTGGTCAGATGTGACTGAAATTAGGGGCTTTGACTCAAACATATGGTCGGGTTTGTAGTGAAGCATGAAATATCTGCTTAAAACAGACATTTACATACATTGTTTATAAAAAAAAAAATACAGTGCACACTTGCAATTTCATGTAAATCCTTAGGAAATTTGGAAATTTAACCGGATCTTGTTCCAAAACTGAAAAAATAGAGCATAAGAAAACCCAGGATATTAGAGTAGGAATGTCAAACCAGTTGACAAGGCCAAAGTGAGGTGTTATGTAATTTTTAGATGTGCTGTGATCCAAACTATCCAAATCAAATGGCTAAATTGCTTCTTCATTATAAAGTCTGCCTCCAAAACTGTAGTTTGACACATATAAGAGATCCTGCAGAGGCTTTTTTGCATTTTATTATTTGCTCATCAAAGTACATGAAAGCAAGAAGTAAACTTTATAAAATCGATAAAAGCATGGATTTTCTTACCGAGCCTGTGTTTTTGTGGTCTTATCTCCTTTGATGCGTGACTGTTTTTGGGAGGGAAGGGGATTGTTTTGTCTGAAGATTTGGTCTCAGACTGTCTGAAGTTGCTCTGATTAAAAAAGCTGGGCTGATACAGAGGAGATTTGTTAAAGCCTTCTGTCTAAATCACATTATCTTGTTACTCCAGTCTTTCTCCCTGCTCCCCCTACCCTTATCTTTATAATTGCCATTCTCTCAGTTTTTTGCTTCTGTTTATATAAAGAAACAGAAAACAAGTGTGTAGGTATGATAACTTGGATTTAACAAAAACTATTCAGTAAAATGTGGAAAGTATATTGAAGAATGTATTCCCCTAGCACACCTTCTTTCTTTCTAAAAGTAATTACCTGATTTAGCTTCAGTTTTTAGATCTACAGTTAGGGGGAAAAAATGTTTTTATATTGATCCAGCCTTTTTTGTTGTTTCTTAAAGTGGGCTATATCACTAATACTTTTTTAAATATCTTTTCAGTGGATTTTTGTTACTTTTTCTCTGTTCCCTTCTTGCATCTTGGCAGCATATCGTGCAGCGTATCCTTAAATAATAAGAAACATCAATAAAAATAAAGAAATCTCAGAAATTAAAAACTATCTACTGCAGATTAACAGTTTTTGGAAAGCCTCAGCTGTCACACGAATGCCTATCAGCCTTGTATTATAAGGACATACATATCTATGCTCCTTTATATATATATTTTACCTTGAGATCTGATAGGGTAAGGAACACTGATTCTGATAAAGCCAAGGCTGCCAAATATATGTTGGGGACAAATTAGAGACTGTGTATTAAGGTTATTCACTTTTAGATCACTGCTATTGTTTAGGGAAGAACCACAGAAATGTTGCTTCAATGACAAAACAATAACATTATTTAATCTAATATGCTGGTGAAGATTTTCAGTCATCCAGGTCATAGCCATTCCAAAAAACTAAAAAAATAAATAAAACACTGGACTTTGTTTCCAAGTTCGAAGACGTTTCGCTTCCCATCCAGGAAGCTTTTTCAATTCAAAATGTCTGGATTAGTGTTGAGTTCCAGGCTTTATAGAGTAGCCCTTAGAAAACATGCAAATCGTAATCTAATGCTATGTTTTGCAGACTCTGCACTGATAATAATTCACCTACATCAGCATACTGAACGCTTAAAGTTGAGCTGACCTTTTAACCTATCTCCTTATTGTTTGCTCTGATTAGATTAGGGCACATGGGGGGAAAAGGAAACATCACATCAGCCTTTTTTTCCCCAGCTTTTTATTGTCATTACACTGTCACAACTACAGAGAAACAAAATAAACTCTCTGCATTTAACCCATCCCCTGGGCTGCCATTGTACGGCAACCAGGAGCAGTGTGGGGTTAAGGGTCTTGCTCAGGAACCCAGAGTGGCAGTCTGTGGGAGTGGGGCTTGAACTCAGAACCTCTAGGGTCCAAGCGCAATGCCCTAACCACCATGCCGCCACTCCCTAGACGATACATTTTAAACCTACACAAAATCTGGCACGCCGTTAGCATCAAGTATAATAATCAAACATGTCAGGACTCTGTGTATTTAATTAATTTACAAGAGCGGCATATGAAATTAATAAAAAACCTTACACAACAAGAAACCTTCTGTACAAAAACTTTCCAACAAGTATATTATTTAACCTTGCTGTATATTGAATATAATTTGTTTGAAATCTTTGCCATTTTGATTTATAGTTTCCTCTAAAGAAATAGAAACAAAATCTGTGTCTTTCACTGACAAAGCCTAACCAGGTCGCAACATTTTCATAGCTGGAATGAAAAACAAAATGAGAATCAGCCAAAATTTCAGAATGCTTTTGAAAAAAACATCAAAATGTCTAAAAAACTAATAGCAAAGTATTAGAAGAATGGGCTCCCTATGTAGTCTGAGAAGTATGGACAACAGGTTAATTGATATGGGAAACTATTATTAAGAAAAGTAAAACCTTTTGGGATTTTCAGATTTGTTTACCCCTTCTAATTTTCCAAAGGGGGGAAATCTAATAATGTGTTAAATAGCAGTGGGTTTTACATCTAAACATAATTCTCTGTCTTGGATTTCTCACTTTACAGTTCAAGGTTTTATTTTTGTCCCATCCTATTTTGTCTTTTTATTTACTGTTGGAATGAAAAAAAAGAAAGAAAAAAATCTTTTTGGGTTATGGGGGGGGTCTCAAAGCAACTTTAAATTCATGCCTTGGTTCAGCTTTAAACCATCAACCCTTTTTTACAGAAGTAATAAATTTGTTCAAAAGACTCTCTGTTAAATAATGGAAGTAACTGTGGGATAATCTAATTCTTATTTAAAAATCCTCATTTAATAATCATTATAAGTTCTGCAGTTATATAATTAAAATAAGGGTAGGTTTGTTTTTGAACAGATGTCATAAAAGCTGTGAAATATCCACATTCTTCTAATCCCATAATACATAAAGAGCTGCTTATTAGTTGGGAAATTCAAATTTAAAGAAGTCAATTTACATAAAGGGATTTTTGCCTTTTCTTTTGTTTTTCATTAGTAATCTTCTCCCACCTTTTCCTGATTTACCTTGTGAGCCTTTAGAGGGTGCTAACAATAAAGAGTTTACTGTACCTAACAAATGTAAAACCATGCTAGTAGTACGCATATATCTAAACATCCATCTATAATAATGCACCTGCCCAGAGGAGGTTCTCTTTTCTTTTTTAAGTTCAAACAAAAAAATGTCCCTGCAGATGTGTCAGGTCTTCCTGAAATTCCCATTTATTCTGTCTTTCTGTTCAACAGGTGTGTGACAGTGAATGGCATCATCTATCCCTCAGCGTCCAGTTCCCATCAGTGACGCTATATGTGGATGGGGTCACCTTTGACCCCGCCCTCATCCATGACAACGGAGCCATCCCGAACCCTGCGCCCCGTCAAAGGATGCTCATCGGTGCTTGCTGGGGTATGTATTTCTTTTCAGCTTAATGATCCATTTTCATTTTAACATTCCTCCAGAGCGGAAATGTCATTTCAGTCAAATATCAGTTGCAAAGATGGCCAGCTGCGCTCTATGAAGCCCCCCATGAGGCGTGTCAGGGTGAGCCGTAGGGACATATTAGATCGCGCTCCTCATTTCAGTCAGAGCGGTAGCTGCGTCTTGTCTTTAAGGTCTAATAATATAAATGACTTATCAATTATTTAGAGTAGCAGAACAACACAGGGGGCAGACAGCTATGAGCCACTTACAGCATAACCGCTCGTTAAAATGGGGAGCGCTGGCAGCCAATTACCATAGAAAAGACACAAACACAGACACATTCAGTGTTTCATCCACATTGTCTTCTGTCTGCCTGCTGGCAGCTGGTGCCAGATAATAAGGAGACATAGCATTTTTGAAGATCCACCCCAGTGTTCTCTATTCTGCATGTATGTGTTGTTTATTCATACTTTGTTTCCATATATTCCCTGCTTTCTTTGTGTCTTTGCACCTTCTGTCTCTTCATACCTGACTCTGCTGAAGAGTCTTTCACAGTATGACAGTGTTGTCTGTTTTCTGCCTCTCTGTGTTTTTCCCAATAGAGCCTGAAGAGAAGCAGAAGGAGATACTAAACAACACCATCCCAGAGGGGAAAGACTCAGGTGACCTTCAAGTTTCAAACAAACCCTCAGCTGATCTTCTCTCTTGTTGCTGATGCAACTATAGGGGGCAAATAACTGTACGTTACAGTATTCAATATTGGTTCACTCTTTAGTGAAGTACGTAGGCGGTTACCATGGCCTGCTGTCAGGGGTGACGGTGCGTCCTGGCAGTGTGGAGCCTCATAGCGTGGTGGAGTGCCTGTACGCCTGCAGGGAGGGCTTGGACTTTGGCGACCTGGAAACTCTTGGTTCTGGGATGAAGGTAATGCCCTGGGAGAGCTGCAGGTTGTTTGAACTGTCTTTGCTGCTATAGTGATAAACATACAGGTAGACCAAAGTTTGGGATATTTTCTAGTTTTGTTTGGATAGAATTTATAAAAGGTGATCTTTAAGGAATAACATTAAGATTTCAAATTTATTTATGAAGCCACTTTGTGACTAATTTCTTACTGTAGTGCCTTAAACAAAACATTCTTTGCTTTGGAGAGAAATTATAAAACGTTTGAGAAGTTATGCAAAAATTTGTCTATTTATTGCTTTCATGTTTTAAACAAAATAAACACCATCTATCAGTCAAGCATACAGAAATGTAAGTCAGAAGATAGAAAAGAAAAGTATTAACAACAGAGAATAGCAAGGTGACAAACTTATGTAAATTCAGTTGAAATTGTGTCATTTAAATTAGTTATAGGTGGTCCACATACTGGAACCCACCAGAGCTTAAATTCTTTCTATTTATCATTGACAAAGCTCCCCACATAACAGCAATAACACAAAATTGCCCAAATTTGTTCAATCACTTATTTTTCATTGGGAAAAAAAATTCTCCATACCTTTTAAAATGCTGAATATTTACCCCTAATCATAAAGGTAAGTTCCTCGAGAACAAGATAGCAGTTTACAGTTAAGGTCCAGCATAGTTTTCCAGGGTCTGTCTATAGTAGTAGGAAAAATCCATACATGCAAAGTTTAGGAAAGGAATTTAGTTTAACATCTGCAATATGTGAAACCTTATTCAAACTACCTTCCAATAATCAATGGTTCAAAGTACCTTTGGTTCCTCAACTAATTTATCTGGAATATTAAATCCATATTTGTTTGAGGGGGATTTCTTTATAAACTAGCTGTTACTCAGAATGGATGGAGTGCATCTTTAAACATTAGTTATCAGGTTCTAACTTGAAAATGCTTTGATCTAATATGCTCTGGATGCATGTTTTGCATCATGATCCTGCTGGTTTCATACTCTCCCTTATTGAGCTGCATCACACTTACTGTCAGCTCTGATCATTATCCTCAGCAGTCCTGAAGAAAAGTAACCCCACAGCACAATGCTGCCATCACTGTGTTTTAATGTTGTTTTTGTGACACACACATTTTGGTGTCATCTGATCAGAGCGTCTTCCATATAGTTACCCTATAATGGCTACACAGCATAGTGCTATTGGGGTTTTTTAAAGGTACAATTAACAGTATAATTTAAAAAAAATGTCAAACACACACCTCTGAGGCCTTCTAACTTTATTGTGCTTGCCTGTCAGAGAGGCCTACTATTACAGAACTAGTTAAGTGACTTTCAAAGGTAGTTTATCTTTGGATTATTAGAGCAAATGCAGCTGAACAGAAGGTTCTCCATAGATTTTAGTTTTGGGGGGTTTTTTTGTAGAACATTCAGAAAATTTGAAAACCATATATATATTTAGCATCTACTATCTTTCATATTAAATACCAAAAGTAAAATAGATTTTTGGGGTTATAATGTGTCATAGTGTGAAAAAAAGACCACAGGCTGTAATAGATTTCACAGAGGGCACCTTCTCTGGTACAAATTTTAATTACTTGAACCCTCAGGTCCACGTTAACCCAAGTCAGTCTGTCCTGGTGCTGGAGGGAGATGACATCGAGAGCTTCAACCGGGCTGTTCAGCAGGTCACTTACAGGAATTCGCTGCGCTTCGCCACCCCTGGAGTCCGTCCCCTCAAGCTCACCACTTCCCTCAGGTAAACATACGCATTAATGAATAAAAACTTTATCTGAAACTTAAACAAACTGCAGAGAATTTTTAGAGGGACATATTTCCCCTTTAAGAAAAAGGGAGAGTAGAGGGCAAATTGGTCCACAAACTAAGCATGTCTCTTGATTTTTGAAAAGAAAACATTTGTTTCTGGGAAGCTCTTAAAACTGGATTATTTTTTTTTTACATATAAAGCTGTAAGGATTTACTTGCAGTAAGAAAGTAAAGCATCAAATATAGTTTACTACTATTAAAAGCACATGAGGCAGACAGACTCTAAACAAGCAGGTCCATGGTGTTTAGAAACAGTATGTAGACACAAATTAAAAGGGCAAGACACCAACTTGATTATAAGACTCATTTAATGAAGAGGTTATAAAGCTGAAATTTAGACTTTTCAATGTTTTAGGTCAGTTCGGATAACTCAAATTATTTCTACCCTCTAAATGTCAAAATAATGATAAAGCAGCGCCTCAAACACCACATTCCTTTGTGGCGTAAAAAAGACAGTCAAGTCGAGAGTGCTGGAGATAAAAGTGTCTCAAATCCTGAACAAAAGAAAAAGATCCAACTGAAGCTGGTGAGAGGGTGTCCTTTAAAAAAAAAAAAAAAAATCCTATGTCAATATGAACCAAAAAAACGACTAAGGAAGAGAGAAGCCACTTTTCCAAAACTACCGTTTCATACTCTGGTTATGTTTTGCCATTGCAGTCTTAGTAAAATACTTTACTGAAAGACATATCCTGTGGTCCTTTAAACCTAAGAATAAATATTTACCAGAAAAGTTACAGAACATACTTGAATTAAAAGAGGAGGACTGCAGACGCTGGTTGGATTTTGAACCCAGGTCTGGTCGGTTAAAATAAATGTGTTTTTCTGTTGCTGGTGTTAAACCATGGAATAATCAAAGGGTTACCCTGAAAAGATGCCAAATTTGTTTCTATGAACTGGAAGATGAAGGGAATTGATGATTTATACTTGTATTTAATTATTATTCCCTCTTTCTATGTTAGTGATCTGGTGTACTTTTATTTGTACCTTGTTGGTAACTATTAGAAATATTTTTACAGACCTTTTCATTTGTAATGTATAATACTGATATCATACTGATAAAATTATATTGTAATAATTGTAGTTATGTAGACAAGGAAAGAAATAAAGAAAAATCAGGGCTAAGTCTAAGTGTTTGGTCTTAAAAACCATCATAAATATGAAAAAAGTGAAAGCTTTATAAAGTTAAGATGATTATAACGTCAAGCTTCAAGCTTATGGTGTTTTTTTCCATCTAATGATTTAAAGATCCCAGGGATTCAAGGGCATCAAGAGATCCCCCCCTTGCTTTCTGCTCCAGAGGAGTACTTTTTTTCTTCAATTTGCCACATTTTATTACGTGTGCGAAGATTAGACTGATTTGAGCCCAGGAGTCACCCAGATGGCTGAACAGCAGGCCCTTCTGGAGAGGCCTATAGAAGCAGCTGCTAACTCTGATAGTGGATATAAGGCACACAGACTCACACCACTTAATCAGCTTAATACCCTTTCACATATGATGCGGAATTTTAGGGAAAATGGGTAAATAAACTGTAGAAATAGGCCATTGATTTTAACATTTATTTTGTATTTTTGCAGGAAATTTCCATTTATAACGTTGTGGTTGCATTTGTTAGTTTTATTCTCACGGTGGAAAACATACCAGGCATATAGTTTTTTGTTTTTTTTTCATATCTGACTTCAGTTTTGCTTGTTTGTTTGCTTTCTGCAGTGGTGCTGCTTTAAGTTTAAATCCCAACCTCAACTTGACAGTGTTGAGCCAGTATAATATATATTTATACTGTTAAACTGTTTTTATTTAGCATGTCACAGGCTGTTTAAAGATGTTGGCGCATGTGGGAAGAGGAGGAGTGAGCTGTCGGGAAAGCTTGCCTGAAGTCATGTTCAACATTGGTTTGATCTCCTCCTCATAAGCCTTTGGGCTTTAAAAAAAAAAATTAAAGCCAAAGAAACATTCCCAGGATTAACTGCAGTATTCAGAAAGGCAAATTGATCAGCAGTAAGATTGATGGATACTTGACATTGTTTTTTTAATTTTGAGGGGAAACAAATAGTTTTTCCTTTATTGACAGTTCTTTAGAAGCTTTTGATAAAAAAGGAAAAAATAAATAACTGGTTTGTTTTTTTTGCTTCTTTTACAAATAAATTCTTAATTAAAGGATAAATAAACTATCACACTGCGGGGTTATCTGTCCTGGGTTTAACTCAGTCGCACTGGCTAATAAAAACCTAATCAGTCTCCATATCATAAATGTAAAAACAAATGATGGAGTTAACTACTCAATTTGATTTTTGAGTTGCATTTAGTTGCATTTACAAAAAAAAAAGGAGATATCTTACGTTCTGTTAAAGGTATTGTTTGTACATTTTTTAAAAGAACCGCCCTCTCCACTTTTAAAAAAAAAATGCACATGCACAACCCTGTAGATTTATAGTTTTTCGACTGTCATACTCACGACCGGTAAGTCAAAATGGGGATGAGCACGTAGGACAGCCTTATGTAAATATATCACCAGAATGACTGACAATTAGGAGGACCACTTATTTTGATGATCAACCCGGTAAAAGAACATCCTCCCCTATACCTGTAAGGGTAACAATAATTTACATAAGTGGATCAATTGTCTTGTAAAGCACATTGACATAATGTTTATAAATATCTCAAATTAAATGCAATCTACTCTTCATTATATTAAAAAAAAACTTAAAAAACATGTAGTAGGGATGTCCTGATACAACGTTTTAATTTCCTATGTAATTCTGATGTTGGATCTTTGAGCATTGACTGATACTGACATTGACCCAATACAACATCAGCATGACTTATACATACTTTTATTACCTATTTTGTAGTGTGTAAAGATAGAAAAGTCTTGATGAAATGACATTTAATAAGCAGAGAACAATTCTCAACATCAGGTATGAAAACAACTGACCCATTCCTTACACAAAGTATATAGAAGTACTTTCTAATATTAGAGATTTTTTAAGGCAGATCAGTATATTCCGATATTTATTTTTTTGGCTGACCGATTCCCAGTATCAATATGAGATCAGGATTCCCCTACATGCAGTATTAATTAAGTGTTTACATGCTATAGATGAGCACTACAGAAAAAAGATACCTACTATTTGTTGAAAAAGATTTCATAAAGTATTAATGTTCTATTTTTTATATTAGATTTAAAAAATTTTAAGAATTGTTTCATGATTTGATTGTTAGAAAGGTCTGATTCAGATTGACTTCACTTATTTCAATCTAAGAGGAGAAAAAAAAAAAAAGAGGAAGCGAAACATTTCAGAGTCACCTAGTCAATCCACCAAAGTAAAATATGAGTTTGAGAGTTTTTTTTTTTTCTGTAATTCTCTTTCAGATGCTTCAATGAGGAAAGCTGCCTTTCCCTGAAACAGCTGGAGGGTTACCTGGTTGTTCTTCAACCTGATGCCCCCCAGATCTCTCTGTCTGGGGTTGGTCCACATCTGGCCCGTCCAGCCCCTGAGTTTGAAGGACCCCGCGGCGTTCCCCTTTTCCCTGAGCTCCGGATCGTTTGTTCACTGTCACACGCTGTCAACACGGCTGCACAGGGGATGGAAGGCGGGGGTGAGTTAACCCTTTCTAGAGCTAAAACAGGAAGATTTTTGTTCAATTTTCTTGCAACCTCTTTCAACTTTGGTAAAAGCAGGAATTTTTATGTTTGTCTTTTACTATTCTGCATTGCCTTTCAGCTCTGATGTCTGATGCTGTGGCTCACACTTTGGATGGATGTGAGGTGCAACCCCTGGGAGAGGAACTGAATCCAGAGAGGGAGGAGCTTCTGGTAGACATGGATGTTGTGCGAGAACGAGGACTGGAAATCATCAATACTACTGCTTACATCGCAATTACAGGTACTGCTGCCCTCTAATGCCTTTTATAGGAGATATAAAGAGAAATCTAGTGCATCTTTAAACATTCTGGACTTTCTTTAGGGCTTTAAAGTGTATTTTTGTTATGCTTCCTCTACCTCACCTAAAGAGAAGAAAAAGAATAACTAAGGCTGGCCCTATTAAACATTATTTGGAAATCTTCAAGAAACAATTAAATCAAGTGTAGGAGGGAAAAAGCAGCCAAAGTCACTGAAGACAGACCTTCAGAATGCCTGCAAACATATTGTCTTGTTTAAGATATACATTATATATAATATTTATAATATAATATATATATAAAAAAAGAAGCAAATTTAATTTTTTTATTAAAGTTATTTTATCAGTATTATAGATGGGCAGTGATAACAATTTAACAGCAATTTAAAAATAACTGAAGTAAGCATGTTATTATGTAAAGGTAATTCTATTTATCACTAAATAGAAAGAAATATATTTATATTACTGCCTAACAGGGCTAAGAATGTCACCAAATACCAACTGCAATAACAGCGAAGGTCAGATTTAGCTACAATGCCCTGCTTATCATTTGATTATTACCTATTTCTAGGTTACAACAAAGACATCATTTGGATTTTATGTCATGCATTGGAAACAGATATATCTGCATAATTATGAAGTATAAAAAAATGTGGGTTTTTTTTGTGTTAAATGTATTTACAAATCTGAAAATCATGGTGTGCATTTGAATTCAAGCACCTGTAGAAGGCCCAATTTGTGCGCCCTTTTTTCCTATTCACCATGTCTAGCTTTTGGATATTTTATTTTTTTTTTCCCCCATGATTTTGTGCAAAATTGTTCAAGCTCAGTCTGCCTTTGTAGAGAGCATCTGGAAGCATAATTTCTTTAAACACATCCGTTCATTAGTAGCATTCTTGAGAACGTAGCTGATTCAGCTTGTTTCTCCTTCTTATATGGGGACATTTAGAGTTGTATTATGGGAACTGTTGTGCTGAATCTGACAGATTCATGATGCTTGTCAAAACTGTAATTACAGCCTTCTGAAACAGAACTCAGCTCTCCATTATAAAACCCAAACTATATGTAGGTGTTAAGATTAGCATGCGCCACACAGAGTTCACATTAAAAAATAGCATATGTTTGTTAAACTCCATGTCTGTGTCCGAACGTCCCTCAAAAACTATATAGAGGGGGGACTATTTAGTGGCCTTTATAGTGAACACAGTTAACTGATCATTTGGACAGATGAGCACTACTTTTCTTTCCCCATTGGTCACATACCGGGTAACTCCACCTCTCTGCGTGGTGCCTCTACCATCTTTGTTATTTGTTGCCTCCACAACAAATCCCATAATGCTTCTGGAGGAGAGCTCTTGCAAAGCAATCTGGGATATATCTGCTTGTCCAGTGACCATGGATGATCATTGCTTTTCAAGGTGCATTGTGGGAAATTTTGAGTACACTTCTTTTTCCTCCAGACATTCCTAGACATTTGGACAATCATCTAAACTGGGGTAATCACTATATATTAACCTATATAGTAACCTATATAGTGATTAGGGTGGACATTCGGACACAGCCTATGAGGTGGGCTGTGCCTGTGCAGTTTGTCACCCAAAGGACTGTGGGCAACCGTATAGCTCCTTTGCAGCAGATGAGAACATTGGGAGGTCCCCATGGAAATTAAACTATCAATAGGAACATCTTGCTTCCTCCTCCTACCTCCTTCCTTATTGCCAGCCCTATTCAGATAGCATTTATCATGACGCACATCTGCTATGGCTTAAGGGATTCTTTGATTTGGAGGGAGCCCTTGACATTCTGAGTAGGTAATTCGGCCACTGGGTTCAGGTGGTTTAGGCCAGGGACATATCTAAGACTTTCAAGACATTGGACCTTCAGACCCCAGATTTATTCATTGAAATTTTTTTTTTTTTTTTTTTTTGTCTCGGTCAAATGTGAACCTCCACACGTTGTCTCAAGACTTTCACAGGCTCTAGCAAGTTTTCATGTATTTAGCTCCCTGCCACTCCTGGCTCTACAGACAAAAAAGCATTCCCACAGCATGATTAGCCCCCCACCTTGTTTCACCTCGTTTGCAGGTGATGCAATGAGACCAAAGGTTGCTAAATACCACACCACACAAAATACATGTACATTATAGTATTTTGATGCAACGTCACAATGGGCAAAACAGCTCAGGTTGCATGAATGCTTTCCCCAGGCTGTGCTGTGACTGCCTCTATCTATATTTTCTTAGCGTTGCCCTCTTCTTTTCTCCTCCAGGTGCTGAATCCATCTCTGTTTACGAGGACGTCCTCCGCTCCGTCCGATACCGCCTGGCCAAAGGCTCTGCTCGCTTCGAGAGGCGGTTCCGCCTGTCATGCTCTGAGATGAATGGCAGATACACAAGCAATGAGTTGACTCTGGAGGTAACGAGAAACTTGGCTCAAACAACATTCATTAAAGCCTTCAGACCTTAGCCTTGACCTTTAGAAACACTGTTTGCAACAAAAGCTGGAAATCTGAGTCTAGATGAGAAGAGTTATAATGAATCTACTTTATTACGGTAGCTGTGTAGCTTTTTTAATTATAAAGTTTCTAATGTGTTTTTTTTTATTTTTTATTTATATTACTTTTCCTGCAGGTGAACTTCCTCCATTCTTTGGACAGTCTATACCAACCTTCCCACCTGCTGGCCTCACAGCAGCAGTTTCTCCATCCATCTCATCATTCTGGAGAGCTGAGTGGGCACACCTTGCCAAACCCACATCGCAACTCAGGTAGTCACCTTAAAAAACTATTCTCTGGCTAATTTCTTACCTGAAAACACCCCTTAAAGCTTTCATTAACATACCAAAAATTTTTTTTTTTTACAGTGAAAGCATGATTAAACTGGAATTGCGTACAGTATTTACTTTTAAAACTAAATACAAATTGCTTAAAAGTGTTTCTTTAGTTACAATTGTGATTGATCTTGTTTTACATGACTAATGCCAAAAAACTGCATCTCCTGAAAGATTTGAGAATTGACTGGGCCTCCATGTAGGCCAGTGTGACTTTGAGTGCATCACAGAGGCTTGTAGTAAGCAGCCATGGTCTCTGAGCTGAATACCAAACAGTGAAACCCAAACTGATGTTCAACTCGGTCCTGAAGGTAGATTTTGTCAGAGGGTGAACAGGTGAGCAGGCAGGTTGGCAGGAAGGCTTACTGATGATGGACCGATCACAGCTCGCTCCACTAGTTCAGCACTTAAACAGTTACAGCTGCCACAAAAAAACGTAAGATTTGCTGGAATTTATAGAAACATGCAGTGAAATACTGAGCAGGTTTTAACTGCTGTGAAGCATACAGTATACTAGCTGAACCGAAGGGTAGAGGAGCGTCAAATGAGGAATGCTACAGTGGTTTGCTTTCCTTGGATTTTTTTATGTGGAAACAGAGGAAAAAGACACAGGCACACCCACACAAGCATATTGCGGGTGTGCATGATAGTGTGTTTCTCTATCCTCGTGGGGACATTCAATTGACTTCCATTGATTTATAACACATTCTTACAGCCTAACAGTGATTCTTAAACTAACCATTATGAGTTCATACTTAACCATAATCCTAACCTAAACTCAATTCACACCTTAGTCCTAAATCTAACACCTAAGCCTAAAAAAAGCATATGTAACCACGGGGACCACACATTGATCCCCGCTAGAGCACACAATCCCCAAAATGTGCTAAGATTTATGGAAAATGGTCCCCACCATGTAAAAAACACACACACACACCGGCCCACACATATGTTTTTAAATGGTGTAACAAAACTTTTAAATATCAACCCTGCATTATTAAATAAGTAGGATTATGATGCTGATTAACATTCATCGTCTCCCTTATATTATATATTATATTAACACTAAGCCAAGCTGCTACAGTCTTTGGGGTGGGGTATATATAGTGACATATACACCCCACGCCTGAATCGCAGCTACTCAGATTTTGCTGCAATGACCCACAAATATTACCTAATCTTATGCTACATGACACGTATGCACTGTCTGCACTAATGATTCACTCACCCGAGTGGCTCCAAGGTTTAATAGATATCTTTTATTTAAAGGCTGTTTTCAGCCTTCTTTTTTCAGGCACATTTTCATGTTTTATAAATGGAAGGCAGTATCAATTTTGCCTGAGAGTAGTAACATATTAATTATGCTCATTTCATTTAATTCAGAAGAACTAATCAGCTGATCTGAAGCGAGATACAAGAAAATGTGCCCTAATTTTAATGATATTTCAGGTAGTTTTTGAACATCCGATGACCAAGTCTATAAATAACACTTAAAGCAAAACCAAATTGGCTCCTTCAATCAGTAATTTTTTTTCTATTTTAATGTCTGATTCATATAAAGCACTTTGAATTGTCCATGTACTGAATTGTGCTTTACACATAAACTTGACTTGCCTTGAGTCACCAGGATATTAATGCATCTGAATTAGAGTAGCACAGAAATAGAAACCTTTATCCTGTGAGTTCGCTGGCAGGACCTGCATTTGTTTGTGCTAAAATGTTAATAACACAGCTCAAGGATTTAGAAGGTGCCATTGAAAAAAACATTGGATTTGTATAGAGCAAAATTCATTCAGGTAATGGGAACCTTTCAAGCAGCAGGAAACGTTTTCTGCAATTCTTTTGCTCACTGTAGTGATAATTCATTTTTTTCTGTTTGTTTTAAATGTTTTGTACTGCTGCCAATGTTATCTTAACACCTTGAAGCTTTTTTTCACATTTTATCACATTATAAAAACATACAATTTGATTTTTTTCATGCAATATACCAACAAAAAATTTTATAATTTTGAAGGAAAAGAAAAAACATTGAAACTGTGGTATGAGGTTGCTTTTGTCACCCTTGTTTTTGGTGGTTTTTATCTTTTGCTCTAAGTACAGCCACAAGAGGTTAGGGGGTATGTCTCTAAACTTTGCATATGTAGCTTGTTTTGTTGTTGTTGTTTTCCTTAGAAGGAATCCTTAGGATTGGATGGAGAGTTGTTAATGACGTCAGTTTTTGAAGCTACATTTGTCATTTGATTGAGGCCCAGAACATTTTAAACCAGTGGATATAGTTGTCATGCTGGGAGCTGAATCTGAGCAGAGGATCTCTGAAGCTTCCTTTTAAATTTTCTTTTTTTTTATATATGATCTACAGCACAAGCCCTAACAAATAGATGCATTTATTTATTATCCTCTGTTATTATTATTATCATGTGCTGATTTGTCTAGTGCATTAATTATATTCTTCCATGCAACTCCCCCTGTTAGGTTGAAAGGAAATATATGCCATATTGTTTCATTGTGGAAATCAATAAAAATATCAAAGTTATTAGTAAGGTAATGTAAGTGGGGCACTAAGCCTGTACCCCACTCTTTCCAATTGAATCAAATGATGAATTAATTGGTTCCTTATTGATGTTTGAATCTTGGGAAATCATTTTATTACCAAATCCTACTTTAAACATTTTACATCTCTTATTCCTCTGCTTTATTCTTCAAGATGCTGGTTGGTTATCAGTTTTCCCAAACAAATCTCTACTCAAATGCTAATTAGGAGACTGAAGGCTGCATTGTTTTTTTGGGATTGTTTTCTTTATGGTATCTGAGCAAACGGGTTGAGTGAAATTTCACACCACACTTTTCAAATATTTGTGAAGAATTTTACTAAAAGCCTGTGTGGTTTTCCTATGACTCTCTTAGCAAGGCATATTTAACTGTTGCTCTTGTACATTGCAGTTGTTCCAGGAGCAGCCACTGTCATTATTATGGTCTGCGTGGGTTTCCTGGTTGTCATGGTGATCCTTGGCGTCTTCCGAATTCGCTCCATCCATCGCCGAGGTGAAGGCGCCAGGGGCGGGGCTAAGGAGGGCAGCAGCCAATGGGACGACTCAGCACTCACCATTATTGTCAACCCAATGGAGGTAGAGACGGGTTCCTTCGATGTTTAGAAATTTATTTTGGTTTTAATCCTCACTGTCTTTGTGGGTTTTTTTTTTAACAGTCCTATGAGTCTCGTTTGGGTGTTTCTGCCGACACGGAGGGAGAGGGAGAGGAGGAGGAGGAAGAAGAGGTAGCGGAATCCCCTGATGAGGCAAGCGACGACCAGCGAATCATCATCAAGAAAGAGGGCAGAGACGGAAACGCCCGTCGCTACTGAGCCGCACTGTATCTCTCCATAAATCAGCTCCCCAGTCATACACTCCGACACTTTTAATATCAAACTGACGGCACTAGTATAAGGAATGTATGCTTACAAACACTTCGCACAACACAATCACCGTAATACTCTTGACGCTCAAATGCCATATGTGACCTATAGCCGACAACAGGCTGTTGTTCTCCACCTAAATGTTCAATGGCACAATGTATACAGTTAATGTAATTTACCCGCCTAAATAAACCCCACCAGAATCGTATGTGGTGCACTAGTTCTAAATCCCAAAATGGTGTCTGTATAGTGTAATGCTGGTTGAAAGGGACTGTTTTATTATAAAGAAAAATATTGATTGTATTCTATCCTTCACTGAATGAAAAGAATGAAGCAAAATGTCAGCGGGAACAAGGCTCTGAGTCGATTCTTAAGCAAAGACACAATCCTTGATCCTGACACATCTTTTAACCTCTTTATTAGACTCAAAAAGTCTGTGCACAAGCTCTCTTCTCCCTTTTTGTGTCATCTATTCTATACACCGAGTGAAGGTTAGACATTATGCTTGGTAACATAAATATCCAAAAAAAAAAAAACACCTCTATCTCCTTGCAGTTTTATTTCCATTCATGTTATAAAGTGGATCTGAAAGTTGCAAACATCCCCTTTTACAAAAGTGTATTCAAACCCTTTTCTACCATTGTCCTACAATAAAATTAAAATAACAAACAAGGTAATTAAAAGTACAACAAAGTGAGAGATGTGTAATAACCTGGTTGGATAAGGGATTCAATCCCTTATCTAATAAATTTTCGAATTTATTTATTTTATTTTATTTTTCTAATTTGATGTCAAAATTAAGTCAGTCGTATCTTGAGCCGCCTAAAGATTTTGCTGAGGAACATCTAAAACTGGTTGGAAAACAATTCCATCTTGAAAAAGCTCTGCTTGATTATAAATTGCCCCTCCACCATGCTGCCACCACCATGTCTCACTGTGGTTTTGGTGTTTCTTTGCTGTTGCACAGTACCAAAAAAATAAAAGTTTGAAATATTGAAAAGAAATTAGGTTGTTTAATTACTTTTAAACCCATATATTAAACAATACATTTATACATTTAGATGCTTTTAAAACTTTTTACAAACTAAGGTTTAATTTGTATCCAAGGGAGGCAAATAAAATCTCTCTATGACAGCTGAGCTTTATTTCTTATTTACCATCAATAACAGGTAGAGAAGAAATTTTGAAATTGAAGTGAAATGTTACTCAACAAAGTGATTTTTCCGGGTTCATGAAAGTAACCAGGTTGTCGCAGCTTCTTAATTTTCCTTGATTTTAGTCATATTTACAAAATAAACAACACAGTAAAAATGTAGATAAAGAATGGGAATAATCAGGGTCCTAAAAACTTGGCTATTTTCAAGGGGATGAACACCTTTGAGATCCAATTTAAGACTGATTTACTTTGCAGTATTCTGTCTGGAGCTCCAGATAACCAACCACAGACCTCAGCCTTTCACACAAGCGCTACTTCTGCAATACTCCAAAATAAAAGCCTTGAAGTGTCGTGTGGACACTTACAAATCAGAGTCATCAAGGATTCACCCTTGAACGGGAGTCCTCACACCATTGCAATTTGTACCAGAGAATAAGAAAACAGCACCTTGACCTCTCTGACCTCCCTATAAATGACTCGTCATCGTTTTACTCGCTAGACACGACGACACTCTAGTGCAAACACACACAAACACATGCAAACACCATCTATAACCCCACACCTCCCATGCTGTTTCCAGAATGTCCGCTCAGCTAGGGCAGTTTTGATTGTATTGATTGTAATGAATTTTTCTGTACATACAACAATGACTATTGCGATATTATTGTTATTGCTATTGTTCTTATTATCGCATTCACTCTTTCTCTTTTTCTGCACATTTCTGAGAGGGAGCAGATTATGATTTATTTTTCCATACAAGGAATCACCTTTCCAGAATCAGAAAATAGTATAATGTTGATACCTATAATAAAGAGTAGTATTAGTGATAAGGATGATCATCTCTGGCTTGATGAGTGTATCCTAATTTGTGTGTAATATTGTTGTAACTTAAGAATTTGCCATTATACGTCACCAAAATAAGGAGGGCACATTGTTGTGGAGCTTCAACCTGTCGAGCTCGTATACTTCCATCTTGGGTGGGTGGGTTGTTTTCTTCAACATTTCAAAATAAAATGCTTTTTTTTTTTTTTTTTTTTTTTTTTTTTTTTTTTTATGTTTCTGTTTCCTTCCTTCTCCATCTGTCATCTTTGGTTCAGTGAACGTACAACTGTGTGCTTCTCCTCACCTTTCCCTTCCTCCAACCTCCCAGCTTTTCTCCCCCAATCTCTCCCTCTGTGTCTCTTGCTGTCTGTCTGTGAAGCCTATTAATGTGCAGTGCTATAAGGCTCTCAGTGAAAAAATAAAGCCTGTTGTTTTGAGTGTCACCTCAAGAAGGAATAAAAATTGCATTGGTTAAAAACTTATATTATTACTACATTACTATTTGAACATTACCTGTAATTAATGATACCATGCTGACATGGATTATGCTGAGTAATTGTTATTGAGAAGTGTCAGAAAACATTGCAAAATTCATAATAAAAACACTATATGACGTCTCCATGAGAAAGTGTTACTTTTTAATCTAAGGGTCTCTTTAAAAAAAACTTATTGTCATGTCCTCCACTTTTCTCAAAAAATGAAGCTTTCAAATATTAGCAATAGAGAAAGAATTAAGACCACCCATGGCTTAGTTTTTGCTTTAGCGACAACATTTTCTTTATGATTTTAACCATCTGTCACATGATATTTAGGAGCTGAGTTGCACTCTTCTTACCAACATTGCTTTAGTTCACTAAGGTCTCCAGGCCTTCATTTATCTAACGCTCTCCTAAATTCCCACAGCAGTGTCTTGGTCAGGTTGAAACCTGGAATTTCATTAATGGCTTTTCTCTTAATTTTGTTTTGTTGTTGCATCTTTTAACTATTGTGTTTTAGAAATTCAAACATTAAAAAAAATATTTTGTTCCATTCCTTTATATATATTTTGTGTTTTGTTTAACCACTTTTAACAGCAAATGCAGCTGAAAAGTGGTGCTTCTCTACCAGCTATAAACATCTACATAATTAAGTTTATGTCCAATTTTTTGTTGCAACATAACTTAACATTAATATAATAGGTGAGGCTTCTATGAAAAACGGTTTAGAATTTTAGCCAAAGGTTCTCAAATAGTCTGCACTTGTACTAGACCATTCTAATACATGAATGGGCTTTCATCTAAACCAGAGGTCAAGGATTAGTGGACCACGGTCCGAATCCAGACCCACCTTCTTGCTAATCTGGACCCAACCTGATTTAAACCATTTATAAATTACTGCATGTTGTCCAATGACAGTGTCTAAACGTCACTTGCGCTGGTTCTCCTGTTAATATGGTAAAGCCCTCCAGAGCGTCCGGCACCAGGCTTCACCTGATACAAATTAGACAATGAGCTGTGCCAGTCAGGGTCGCTGCTGCAAGCTACCGTACTTTTAGACACAGCAGGCAAACCTATGGCAAGCTAGACAATGGGAAAGAAGGGGAAGATGATTAGAAAAAGAGAGCAGAGAAAGTGCAGACCGCTGGAAGATGCGCAGTGAACTGGTGAAAGAAAAGGGAAATGGCGTGCTCAAAGATGACCCTGCACATTTTGAGTATGTTTGGTTCAACCTACTGCTGTGAAGCAGGATTTTCCACCATGAACATAATCAAAAATAAATATGGATCCAGGCTCAAAATTGATATGTGCTTGAGAATGGCTTTGTTGCCATTCAAACCCAGGTTTAAAGCCTTGCAGGGCAGAATAAAGCCCACTGCTCTCATTAAGCTATAAATAAGAAAGAAAGAAAGAAAAAACAGTCAATTCAGGTGTTTTATAAAAAAAAAAAAAGGGAGTCAGGAAATTATCTAAAATGGTAAAACATTCTTTTTTTTTATATTTTATTTATAAATTCAATGTATAACTTGAATGCATAAACACCTGCATTTTATTTCAGTGTTAAATGCTGTTTAAAGTAGCGGATTATAATTAAACATTTCTCCAGACCTTTACTGGTTGTTGATTTCTTTAATCGAACCCCAGTGAGATTTAATTGGTTACCCCTGATCCAAAGCATTCCATGTAGCTCTGGCTGCATCTTCGAGGGCATTATCTCCTAGAGAATTAAGTTCCACCACAGTGTAAAGCAATGGTAGAATTTGTGTATTTCCCTCCATCAATCTTTCCGTTACTTAACTCTAACCAGCTGCTATGTGTCTACTGAAGAAAGCCATCTCCACAGCATTATCTGGCCTCCATATGTATAACTTCTCATGGCATTTTTCAACAACAGCTTTCTTTTTGCCACTTCCTCATGCAGGACATTTTTCTGTTTGTTTTAGAAAGCATAGCTAACAAGCATCCTGTCAAAGGATTTTGCAACCTGAGCTGTGAGTGTCTGCTGTTTCTTTTAAAGCAGTGATTCCCAACCAGGGGTACTCATACTGAGCTGCTCAGTGGATTAGTGGGTTGCACTGCAGCCTTGTAGCAAGAAGGTTCCAGGTTTGATTCTTTCTGCATGGAGTTTGCATGCGCTCTCTGAGCATGTGTGGGTTCTCTCCGGGTACTCTGGCTTCCTCTCACAGGAACTCCAACTGGCTAATTTCTCCTTATGTGTGAGTTTTGGCGTGAATGGTTGTTTGTCCTGTTTCTCTCTGTGTTGCCCTATAATGGACTGGTGACCTGTCCAGAGTGTACCCCACCTCTCTCCTGCAGACAGCAGACACCCCTCACGACCCCACTTGGTAGAAGCGGGACAGAAAAAATTGGTACTCATACCCCTACTGGTCCGTGAGTGCATTTCAATATTTTATTTCTAAGGTAGTAATATAAAAATAGGGATGGGATCTGTTTTGCTTTGTGAGGATGTAATTTCAAAACAAAACAAGCTTTTATCAACCAAAAAGAAGGTTTTTCTTATATGATTGAGTTCCCCTTCAGCTTTGACACACATCCGAACCAAGCAGAGGAACAGACTGGATGTAGAGAACAACCTGGAATTGGCTGTTTTTCACACTAAGCTTTCGTGGGTTCAGGTGTTGATGAAGCAAAACTAATAAAGTCAGCCTGACTATAATTTTGGTTCCCAATTCATCAAGTTTAAATGTGATTATAAGGGAGTTACTCAGAGGAGCTCCAGTTTTATAAATACAGGTGTATAATATGATTTTATCTTGTATTTCTTTTAATTCCTTACTAACTTCCAGGCAACATATTCATATTTATGTTTTTTTTTTTTTTTTGCGATGGAATTATGCAATGCTTTAGAATAAAATGCCCAAATTAAAAAAAATAAGTGAAATAATTTTAATTTTATAAACAATTACTGAATGTTCCATTTTTTGACAATCAGCAAACTTTTGACTGAGAGGGGTACTCATGGTAAGAAAAAATACCCAAAGAGGTACACAAGTCAAAAAATGTAGGGAAACACTGCTATAGAGAACTGGTAACGGTGCCCTTGGTCATATTCTGCAAATTTTCAGTTGTGCAATGCTCTTCATTTTTAAATCATGTATTTACCAGCTCTCTGTGTGAATCTAAAAGCTTGGAATAATTCTTATAACCATATCCTACTTTTGTTTTCTTGTACTTCTATTTGGTTAATTGTGAAACAATTCAAATAGAATACATCAAGGGTTTTTGCTTTAATGTAAAAAGTCAAACAATGATAAAAGCTTTAATAAGGCAAATTAAAATGAATACTTACTTAACTGAGAATATTTCAGTAAAAAAAAAAACATCACATATAGACTGTTTCAACATGAAAAAAAAATCAGATTCAACGTTTATCCCCTCACTACCTGTTTTATTACATAGCATCTGGTTTCACTAAAATGCTGATTTTTATGGAGAATGCATGTCTTCCTATCCATCTGGGATAAGTAAACACCCATACAGACAACATGTTGATATTTCAACACTAAGTTTATATACATTTAATTTCTTTTATGCCATAATTTGTGTTGGGGCATTATGATCTTGTTGTATTGTCCCAAGCCAATGTGTTCTAATACTTTAAACATTTAACAGAGGTTTGATTTTTTTTTGACAATCAAGTTCTGAATCTATATAAAACTAACTAAATATTTTCCAACATCAAAAGGTAAAACTAAACTATTACTGAACCCATCAAAAATATCTTAAGAAAGTATAAAAAAAACATTTCAAAGTCGAGGTTTAAAATTATTGTTAACATTTTAGCTGTTTGAATCATTAACCGAATAGCTGAGAAATATTTAATAAGTTATTAATTTGGTTCAGTCCTAATTAATCCTAATTTACTTGCAGTAAAAATACATAAAACTACTTATTTATAATTTATTTTCTCAAACTATTTATCTTTTCAGTTTTCAGAACTTCCACTGTGTTGAGAAAGCAGCATATAAAAGTACAAAGCTCGCTCCCATCTGCTCAAGCTTTTTCTCAAAAATATTTTATCTTCTCCAATTACCTACTCAAACACTTTGTTAATTAATTAAAAAAAGAAGCTGTAGTTTTACTTTTTATGGGTTACCCTTTTCTACCACACTTTTTCCTTCCACTTAACTTTCCATGAATACTAGAATACCAGAAATGGCCATTGCCTTTTTTTTTTTTTTTATTGGTGTAAAGTTTTCATATAATTTTCTTAGACATTATCAACACTAAAATCACCATAATTTAATTATTTTATGCAATAACCGCCACTTCCGATAGGCTCTCCATGTGTTTTTGTGCCTGTGCTCGTTTGAGGACTTTGTTCCATTCAGCACATATTTTACGTAAACGTACGTCTTTTTATGCCCATCGTCCTCTGACACGCTCTTACGTAAACGTTTGAAGAATACGCTTCATTACGTTAGCAGTGTCTCTCCAGACTCAGTGGGTGAATGGCTTCACAGGTCATGAAGAAGGAAGGTAAATAAAGAAAGGGGCGCTAAAGGTGTCCGACGTTTGCTGGAAGATTTTCTTATTTTAACGGAGTAGAAACAGGAGACGAACAAGGCGTGGATAGATATCCCGGAGCTGAGCTACCGTCGTTGGGCTTCACCCGGAGCTGTCGGCGGTGAGATGAACATCACGTTACCCGCCTGCTTATGCTCCTCCTCGAGGTTAACACTGCAGGAATGATCGATTCTCATGGCCTTCTGTTCTTAGCTTCTTAGCTAACAAAATCGGCCCACACGTATTTATACATTTCTTCATATTATCTTATTTTGCGATGTTTGTTAAGAGTAAGATATATAGAAGTGATACTAACGTTGCTGTTTGGATCCGAAGCTACACTTAGCTTCAGGTAGCACCTTAAATGTGGTTGAATACTGCCAGTTTTGCACCCATTAACATTTCAACATTTAGTTTGCATGAAAAAGTAGGGCATGGAGAACAAAAACTGGAGATTTGCTGTGTATAAACAAGTGTCACTGTGGCCTATCTGTGATAATGTGAGCATTAATATCTTCCTTTAATCCTCTTAGTTTGAGCCTAATCATAATGCAGCAGCTTTGTGATCAGTTGAACTACATTCTACAATGAGAACAATAAAGTGTCTACATGTGGAGTGGCACTCTATGTCATATTAGATGAGTGGAGGGGAAAAAAAGGGCTTCATGTTTATATAGTTGACAGGGAATTCCACACAATTAATTGTGGAAATTGAAGCTCAGTTGCCAGTATAGATATATACATATATGTATGTATATATATATATATATATATATATATATATATATATATATATATATATATATATATATATATAATTGTATGTTGTTTGTTTTAGAATGGAAACAAACTGATTAGAATATTGCATTGCAGTTTATTTCCCATCTTTTTAATAACCACACAATTAAAGTGGACAACAATAAGCATCCTCTTCAGAAGACTGTAAAACAATTAGAGCTGAAACCATTAACCAGATTAATCGATTATTGAAATAATCGTCAACTATTTCAGTAATCGTTTATCATTAACTGGAGTATAGAAACTGTAAAACATGCCTGTAGCTGACGAGCAAACCCACTTAGAGCAGTAATTTTATCAAAAGTGTAAAAAATTATGTAAACAATTTGCAATAAAGATTGAAAAAAAAATGGCTGTTATGTTAGTAGACTCTTTCCAGAACTCCTCAAGTGGAAAAGTTTTAGTTTCACCTGGTTTATTTCATGAAAAGTCTTCTTTAAGGAACCTTTGGTTATCTGCTTAGTAATCAATCAGAAAAATATAATTGACTGATTAATCGATTTGTAAAATAATCGTTAGTTGCAGCCCTAAAAACAATAACAGATATGAGAAGATTTTCTATTGATTTTTTTTCAAGCTTTCCTAATTAATGACCCATAAGAGGTAATTAATTGCTTATTTCAGGTGGAAGAGCTAAAGTCATACCATATCTCTGTCTCTGTAGACAGACAAAATGATTGTGGACTCCACACTAGTCTTTAGTGCCATGTATTAGACATAAAAACAATAACAGAAAAACACAATTCTTATTTTAACTCTGAGGTTTTTAACTAACCACTGCCGTTTTAGAATCAAACCATGTTCTTTGACAAACAAACGGATGTAAACATTGCAGACCAAGTTTACTGAGTTGCATTGGGCCTTTCTGTTATCTGTTCAAAGTCTTGCTCTCTCTATCTTGCTATGTTTCCATTATCCCTTTATTTTGCACATTTTGATGTATCGCATGGAAACAGCAGAACTTGCTTTTTTCCTTCAAAATGATTTTTTTTTTTTTAACTCTCTCTTTATGGTGGTTTAGACCAGAGAAATCCACACAAGAGGAGATAGAAACACATTTATTAAATAGGTTCTGATTTATACATTTACCTCACGTGACTGACCAGCTGTTCCTGCTGCTGCTCCCATTTCTCTCTCTCACCATCCTTGGATGGCATGCCGTATAACATTACTAATACTATCTGACCCAATAAAGGAAGTACAGCTTTCCCGATTGCTACACATTCATGAAAAAGCTTGGTCAATTACTAATATGTGATCTGCCTTAGTTTGCTGTTTCTATTTCTTATTAATTACTGAGAAACGTAACATTAACATAAGACGACATTACGACATTATTTACCACGCCTGGTTAACTTCCACCAATAGAAAACATGTTGAATTTGCATTTTTCATTTTGTCAAGATTGTTTAAATTTGTTCAAAATTTGCATTATGTTTGGATTGAGACACGGCCTCTGTCTCTGTTGCAGCCTGAATGAACAGACATAGTGATGTATGTTGTAGAAAACTCTTTCTTTTAAATGTTTTTATGCTTTTTTTTGCTTTATTTTATAAAAAATCACTGACATTCACCCATTAACAGTGTCCTCAGATAAGAACATCTTTTTTTTCTGACCACAACCTGCATTCAGTATGGTTCTTTAACTGATAGAAAGGAGATTTCTCAACCACTTGTTAGAGCCAGAGCAGCTAAATATCGTTTCTTGGTGCATCTCTGATGGAAACCTTTTCTACTATCACGTAAAAACAGTCAAATAAGTTTGAACTTAGAGGACCATCTCCCTAAAATAATAGTCATTGCTTTTGTTGCCTTATCCTTTCTTTAAAATATTGTAGGAGCATTAAAAGCTCAGAATGATCTGATAACAGCTGAAACAAGCAGCTAATGTCTCCGTGCCTGCCAGGCCTTCGTGTCCTCATTATTAATGCCTCACATAAGGCCAGAGAATGTCATGCAAAACAGCAGATGGGGTTTGATTTGGTTGATGTGACACAAGCCTGTTATTGCAGGGTTTAGACCCTCCAGAGTTACATTAGTCTATTCTGTCCACTTTGAAAAAACATAACTTATTGTGTACCTTCTCCTGATGACTCGTAATAATGAGTTCCTGTTCTAAAGATTACCTTATGAATTTCTCAATACTATACTTTATTAGCTGTCTTACAGCCTGATTTTAGAGAAGTGTCAGTCAGATATCAAATTGGCTGGTCTCCATTAAAAATCTCTGCTTTCTGGCTATTAGGTCAAATACAAGAAATCAGAACTTTTTCATTTTACAAAATAAAAAATGTCTCATAACTGAGTATAAGAACGTATCAACCGATAAAATAGACATTAATGCAACATTTTTAATTTATAGAAATCTGACAAAGGTTGGGGGAATGTACATCCATGTTTAAATTGAACTATACTTATATAAGAAGATTTTAACGAAATTAAACCAGGCAAAACTAAAATGTATCCACTTGAAGAGTTTTGGATAGAGCATATTGACATGCAATTAAACAAAAAAAAGCAAAATGTTTATGTATTTTTTTAAATCATTTTGTTAAAATTACTGCTCTAAAGGGATCGCTCTTTCAGCTAAAGGCATGTTTTACAGTCTGTATACTTCAGTTAAAGATTAATCGATTTCTGAATTAGTTGAAGATTATTTCAATAATCAGTTATTCTGATTAATTCTTTCAGCTCTTCTACCAACTACAAAAAAATCTCTGTCTGATTGCTCAATATCCCTAGTCAAAATGCCAGTGGGAAGTTTGAAAGAGTTCCCAGAAAAAAATAATGAGCTTTTAATTGCTATAAGACGGATAAAGACTTTTAAATTAATTCAGGAAGTATCAGTCTTATTTAACTACCCTTCTCTTTAATTGAATAAGAAAAGATAATGTTTTATTTTTGTTTTTTTGAGTGATACCAATTTTTTTCTTTTCTTTATGGTAATTCCCATCTTGCCTCCCATGAGAAAATTGGCTTCTTGGTTGACTAATAATCTATTAGAATATAATATGAACACTTGTGGGCATAGCAGCTGCAGCAGTAGAAACTGCTTGGGAATAAATCAGATGGGGGCACATATGAACAGCAAGAAGTGTTTAATGGATGTAAACTGTACTAAGATACAATAGGAAAACTATATTTTTTATCATGCTAAAGAAACAAATGATCACCAAGGCAAAAAAAAGAAGATGCGAATAAATAAAAACCTCATTATTTCACCAGGTCTAATGATCAGGTGAAATCATTCAAACTCTCTTTTTAGCTTTTAGGAGATCTGGTTAGCCTTGCCTCATCCTTGTGTTGCCATGGCGATGCGGGAGTTGGTGGAGGCAGAATGTGGGGGAGCCAATCCTCTCATGAAGTTGAAGAGTCACATGACCAAAGAGGACGGGGCATGGCGGCACCGCTCAACGCCGACAGTGAGTTGTTGTTTTTTTGATTTTTTATTATGTGATACACAAACTTTTTTATTTACTGTTTCATCATTTGATCACAGTTTATTCAAATAAACTTAATTTATTTTTCATGGCTTCTTTACCTTCTCCTAGATTCCTCCTACTCCCATTGAAATTGCAACAGAAGAAGAGGTGAGTGTTGATTTAAGCTCAATGCTGTTCTGACTCCAGACAGCGGATTAATTCTGTATTTTTTATATACATATATATTTCTAGACTTGATATCGTATAATGTCTCCTTTTTGCTCCAGCTTGTGAGTGAGTTTCTTCAAGCTCCACCTCGACCTCCACATACATTTGACATGGGTCAGCTCTTAGAGGAAATGCAGCAGATTGACCAACAGAGCTACAGACAAGCTCCACAGAGAGGTACTTTTCCATCTTTAACTAATATAAAGTATATGTTAAGGTATAAGGTATAAATTACAAAAATATAAAGTATTTGTTAAGGTATAAGGTGAAATTACAGCAAACTGCCTTAAGATGCATAACGTTTGCTATTTTTTTTACCTCATAGCACCAGATGTGGCAGCGCTGGCCCTCTCAGGCGACTGGGCTGCAGAGTTTGTCTCAGGGTCTGACTCTGCTGCTGCCACCAATGCTCTTGGTGAAGCGGTGGATTCTGATTGGACGAGGGAATTTATCGCTGAAGCTGCAGGTAATCTGAGTTTCTGTTGATCTGGGTTTCACTTCAGAACCTCAAGCAACAGTGGATGTGCAATTCAGCTTTTTGAGTCGCCATCAGTTTGATATAGGTCTCGTCTTTATGATGGGATCAGAATAAGCATATGTAGCATACTCTGCCTCTTGAACTCTTCAAGTCTGCAAACTTCAGTCTGTTTTAGTCTCAGTCTTGCAGCAAGAAGGTCCCAGTCGATTCCCAGCTGGGGGTCTTTCTGCATGGAGTTTGCATGTTCTCCCTGTGCATGTATGGGTTCTTTCCAGGTACTCCGGCTTCCTCAAACAGTCCAAGACATGACTGTTAGGTTAATTGGCTTCTCCAAATTCTCTTTAGGTGTGAGTGTGTGCGTGAATGGTTGTTTGTCCTGTTTATCTCTTTGTTGCCCTGCAGTGGACTGGCGACCTTTCCTAGGTGTACCCCGCCTCTTGACCGTAGACAGCTAGAGATGGGCACCAGCACCCCTCTTGACCCCAGTAGGGATAGGCATGACGGAAAATGGATGGATGATCTTCTTACTCTCTTGAATCTAAATAAAATCTAAATCAGCCAACTGCCTTCAGATGCGATGAAATGTAATAAGTTTATAGTCAACCTGTGTGTAATTTAACGTAAATATCATTAAAACCAAGGAAGAAGGACCCAGCACTTCTCAGTAATAAAGTTTATTTAAAGCAGGGTTAGTTAAAAAAACATCTCACTAACTTGGAACACTTCACATAGCACTATTCAAACTTACATTCATACCTAGATAGCAATCAAAGAAGCAGTTTAGAGCCACTTAAAAACTTAGAGACAAGCTTTGGAGATCCACAGCTCAGTTGTGAGAATCTGTTGGTGAGATCTTGTTTAGCTGTTTTCTTCAAACTGGAATTTAAAGAAGAGCCTCAAAAGCACCTTCCTGTAGTTACAGGGTGTCGCCATATATCGTATCAGTCAGAAAGTTCTAAAAAGAAGTTAGTTGAATTGTCCAAACTTTAAAAAAACCCTTTTCAACATTTTATGTCAATTCAATCATTTTATGTGTACCCTGGTTTCAGCCCTTTTCATTGATGTCAATTACCCCCATTTGCCATATGTGGAGATGCTCTTTATAATGTTCTTTGTTTACTTGGTTGCCTTTCCCCCCCGATAAAGTTCGAAAACAAGCATCAAAATAATTACTGCTCTAACACTAAGCAAACAGCCGTCTGGCCAAAGAGTCGAGCAGCATAACAGACTTTAGACCACAATAGTATTATTAGTCAATGTGTTTATGAAATGGAGAACATCTTGGATACGATACCACACTCATTTGACATTTAAAACACAACTCTCGCTCTGTGTCTGTATTTATAAGCAATACATCAACAGAGGAAGGCATGCCTGAAACTCCTGATCAGTACTGGATAAATAGCAGAACTGTGTGATTGCGGATGGGTCCATCTCAGGGAAAGCCATAATTAAAAGATGTCTCTAATTAGTCAATTTAATACATCAAATAAAATGTAAAAAGAACAATTAAATTCTAGTGAAAGTATTGGTTTGATTAAAAAGTAGAGCAACAGGAAGAGAGATTTTTATTTGTAAAAATATTTTTAAAAATGCTCTGTATAATGTCTGGATTTGATGCCATTTTAATGCCACATTTCCCTTTTTTTCTGCTCCAGATCCAGGACGCTGGGCAGAGGAGTATCTGGAGCAGTCTGAGGAGAAGCTGTGGCTCGGGGACCTTGGAGACAAGGAGACCGAATGGTGAGATTAGACTATTCTCTGAGTCCATTCGGACAATACATGGCTTTTCTACAGTGAAAGCTGCAAAAAACCTGGAGCTCAAACACCACACATAAAAAGAGAGAGAGGTGCACAGAAAGACTTAACAGTAGCAGATCTAAAATCAAAACTAAACCTTGAAAACATCGACGAGTCCACTGAAATATCATTCATCCAAGTTTTAGCCTTATCTACTTTTTCTTTTTATTATTGTTATTCTGAAACTGTTGCTCTATGAGAAACGTCTTCTGCAAAAGCAATTTAGCCATGAATAAAAGCTGCTGTGGAGGATATGAGCCTTAGCCTTCGTTGGCCTCATTCATCAAACAACAATGCAGTTCTGTCCTCAGCCTGACTCCATTTATTCCAGCTTTCATAACCACAAGAAAATGAAAGTCTTACTTCTCCTGAACCTCCTGCTTGAGTTATGTTGACATGTTTATATATTTTCCTGTTCATCTGACAGGACGAAGGAGTATCAGCCTGGAGATGAACTGAGGCAGACGGCCAATGAGCTCGTTTCAAAGGTTGATGACCCAAAGTTACAAAACACAGAGGTTGGCTGTTTTCAATCTATATATCTTCATCCTTTCTTCAGTGTCTTTTACCATTTCTTTCTTCATTTCTTTTGCATTTTGCTGCATAGATCTTTGTAAATATGTTTTTTTATGTCATTGTTGCAATAGAGCTCATCTTATTGCAGAGCCTTACCAATTAGATTTTTTTTCATTGTTGTTTAGTTCCTGCGATTCATTAGGCAGATTGGCGAGGGCAGTGTGACAGTGGAGAGCAGAACAGACAGACAGCTCACAGATAAAGTTCAGGCCGAGGAGGCTCAGAACTGGGCCTCCAACCTCAACCAGGTATGAGTCACTGCTCACGGAGGAGGGAATGGTTTTAAACTGGGAACACAGCATATCAGGGGAGCAAATTGGTTCATTTTTGTAGAGCGTAGGCTTTGTCAAGTGACTCATCTGTGTAACATTTTCCACAAATGTAACCAAATAGAGCCACAAGTCTCCTTGTAATATGAATCTCAAGGCTGCACAGCTTAGGAGATGAAATTTGTTTTGCAGTGAGACAATCTCTAAAAATCATCGCTTGGAAGGTTTGGTTTCTGTGCGAGTACAGAAAAGCTCGGTTTGTTTCCATGTTGTTCCAATATTCCGTCTGTTCCTGATTTGGCAGCAGATGTTTCAGTCTCTTAGAGGTATAAAAAGAGGATTGCACATTTTTGGATCTCTGTTAAATATCATTATGTTCTGGAATATATTTAATGAAAAAAACAATAGAATATAAACAAAACAAGAATTGGATATGAAAATTAACACTTAACTTTAAAAGAAAAAGGAAATCCTTTTTACATTCAATATTTGAGCAGAAGATGCAGGTTCTTATTGGAAGCTTAGGGATTGCCTTCTTGTAACTTGAAAACTACTTTGGCGAATTTTAGTTTATTACAATTGAGGGATTACTTCAAGGGACTTAAATATTAATATTCTGTAATTTACAGGCTATTTTCTAGAACTAACAAGTTACCTTTTGCAAATTTCCCAATAGTTACTGACATTTTCCTGTAAGCAAGTTTCAAAATCTTTACTGTTAACCTTCCTTGAACTTAAAATTTATTTTAAAAACATGCAATTTACTTTCTGGTTACTTTGTAAAACTTTTTCTGTATTTACTGAAACTTGCACAATATTTTCCTGAAACCTATTGTTTTTTTGTTTTTTTTTCAAACTTACATATCTCCTAAACATAACTCAACTGATTCATCAGTTAGTTTTCAAAAAATAAGGGATACTTTATTATTAATTAACATAAAGAATGTTTCATATGAAACATACAATTTAGGAATTCCTTGTCAGTATTTTCAATATAGATGAATATAGATATAAATCTCTTATATTGGACCTAGTAACAAGAAAGAATTTATAAAGATGATTATCTATGCTTAGATCACTTTTGATTTTGTAGCTAATGGCAAATTTTGAAATTGTTTCACTGATTTAAATTGCTGATATGTCTGCCAACATCAGCTTTAACTTGCTGTGTTATCTTAAAAAATACAGTTTAACCTTTAATGATTCACCTTTACATTTAGCTCTTTGATGCACTTAAAGGTAGCTCTTCTTTTCAAGGATGCTGCTAATTTAGTTTTAGTTTTTTTTTTTTTTACTTGTTCAAGCTTGAGACGCAGCAGACTGCCTATCTTAAACTATTTCTAAAGAAATTGTCTAATAGATTTCCTTGCTGTTAAGAATAAATGAATATCTTAAAGAGTGGGGTCCAAATTCTAAAAAATGATCTCAGTATTTCTATCTTGGATCATATTATTCAGACATTATTTTCTTACTTATTCTATGTTATGCTATATTTTGCTTTATAATTTCGATTTAAATGCCCTCCATGTTGATGCTATGATTGTATACCACCCTCCATGGCATAATTTTTTAAATATATTGTTCCCATTTTAACTTTACCCTAAACTCCTGATATTCCATTCCCTTTATTAACAACTACCATTTGTTGAATGTTGCTTTAACTTTATACTTATTCTGCCCACCCTTCCTGGAAAAAAATAATCCCCATTAACCACTTCCTACCCCTCAAAACATGAATCTGTGTGCCACTGCCTCCCCTCATCGCCCTTATCGTAGTTCTTGACGAAGACGGGGGGAGGGAGTCTTCCCTTGGAACCACCAGAGAAGAATCAGAGGATTGAGAAAGTTAAAGCTAAACAAGCAGAGCAGTGGGCCAAAGTCGTCAGGCAGGTAGGACCTCTGTGGTCGCAGCAGCAGCAGTAGGCTTTTTTTAATATAAAAAAATAATAGCTGTTTTTTTTTTTAGGACACATTAAGTGTTTAGTATCCTTGCTGTTAAGCATCTTTGTTTTTTATTAAAAACATTAGAAATCAGGAAGATGTAGTGGCACAACTAGAAATGATCTTTTATAGTTTTTATTTCACTTTCATCTTTGCTTCCTTTACATTCACCTCCTGGCTCTTCTTTCCTTTTTATAAATGTCACCATCCATTCCTGCAACAGTTTGCTTAGCCAGCCCCTACAGACTCGTGGCACCTATTGTCATTGCTCTCCATTGCTATTCAGGTGTCAGAGGAGTCAGCTGAAGCCTGGGTGGACGAGTTCACCACAGTGGGGCCAGATTTTCAACAAGCCAAAGCTGCAGTGGAGGTACGAGAAGAATGGAAAAATGGGAAACTAAAATGTAAATCCAACAGTTTAATTGGGAGGGAAGTTGTTGAAGCCTCTGTGTTCAGATAGGTGGAGAGTTAAAAGGGATGAGGAAGTGTTTCTTAGATCAGCATGAATATAGTTTTGTGTTCGATTTATGATCCCTGTTCTCTTTTTAAAGCACCCAGTTAGGGCTGGTACAATTTATCAGATCTATACAACTGCCAACTTATTTATCAATTAATTGCTGAGTGGAATATTCAGACCTTAAAAAGTGTCATTTCAGAGTAGAATCAAGCTAAACAGTAAGAATTTGGTATACATTTTGCAATCAATATGAAAATCCTCCTTGGTCTGTAAATATGCTCCGTCTAGAACTCGGGTGGCTTAGGTTTCGCACTGACTTGTTCAAATTCTGGGCTAAATCTCCAACAATGAATCATCTACTATCTAATTTTAGATTAGATTAGATGAGCTTTATTGATCTCACAGCAGAGAAATTCCCTGGTCACATATTGGCATAGTATGTGACCAGTGAATTTCTCCTCTGTGAGATTTAATAGAAAGAAAATTGAGAGCTCAATTTACAAAATGATAAGTTAGTTTCAGCCCTACATGCAGTTAAATAAATACATAAACCAAGGATGAATTTAAAAGAGTTGCTGCTGAACATTGACCCATCTCAGTACTCTAGTAATTATAAATATAATATTTTTAATTAATAACAGTGATACTCTTTAAAATGTGTTTTATTGACATAGGATTTTTTTTTTTTTTTTACGGATTTTTTTTTTTATGTTCTGGCATTTTTTATCTTAAAAAGATCCATAGAATATTATTTGGATTAGTCTTTTAAATATGCTATTGTTGTCCTTGGGATCTAGAGTGGGACCTTAAACTTTAATTTGACCATGAAAATATGTTGATGCATCAGATCTTGTGATCTCAAGGCATAATTATTCTAAAAATGAATATGTGCATACATTTAATTGAAGGAAATTATTTTTGTCCTTTATTTGAGCTTGAAATAGGAGCCTTTATAGAATATTTATTGAAAACAGTATCAAAACTACCATGATTTAATATATGTATTTTAGGTTCAAGTAATTTTTAAATGATTGACATGCTTAAAATATTATTTTAGCTGTTTTTGGGAAGCAAACATTTTGTGCTTTGGGACAGATGTGTCTGTTGAAAGGGCCTCTTGAAGGGGATATCCAAAAAGCTTCCAACCTTTTCAAATCCTGTACGTATCATGACAGAGGTTGAAGGCTCGGCTTTCCATTAGCCTTCCTGTTATCTCCTGAATTTTGTGGCCTCTCTCTTGTAACCTGAAAGGACCTGGATGCTTAGGTATGGTATGTTCACTGTCCAGGAGAGGATTGGATTTTTGATTATCTGCTAGCTTACTCACTGATTGTGGTGGATTGAGCTAAAAATCCTCCATTGCTCTTGACCAGCTGATTTCTTGGTTCTTTATCATTCAATACTTCACTTTATAAACTTTCTCGAAATCAATCAATATATTTGTCTTGTCTGGTGCAAACAAAGCAGACAGTAACAATATGTACATGTTGGATTTTGTCAGAGTGATGTTGATTTCTGGGAGAAGCTGCAGCAGGAGTGGGAGGAGATGGCCAAGAGAGATGCAGAAAGTCATCCATGGTTGTCTGACTACGACCAGCTGCTTAGCTCCTCTTATGATAAGGTAAAGATGTCACGCTTCAGTAAAAACCCAGCAATATCTGTTTCTGAACACTTTGAGTTCAGCAGTTTAACTAGTGTTTTGTGACAGGGGTATCAGTTTGAAGAGGAGAACCCCTACCTATCCCACCCAGACCCTTTCTCAGAGGGTCTAAAGAGGATGGAGGCGGGTGACATCCCAGGAGCTGTGCGCTTCTTTGAAAGTGCTGTTCAGAAGGAACCAGACAACCAGCTGGTCAGACTCTTAATTATTTTTCTGCATCTTGAAATATTAATGTTAAAAATTTAACTTTACTGAACTAATAGATGAATTTTTAAATGAATTTTTTTTTTGAAACACTAACTTCAGTTTAACTGGCCTATATTTAATAAAATATCCAACTCCAAAATTTTCTTTTTTAAATATAATGAATTGTTTATTTGGATAAACCCAAAGTTAAAAGCAACTTCCAGAACTCATTCGTAGAATTTTGCCAGAAAGAAACCTGAATTTTTGCTTAAAACATTTTAGATAACATGTAAAAACAACCGAGGACAGATAAAAGAATGTATAGTTTTTTATGTTGTTTTTTTGTTTTTATTAAAGGCTTGGCAATATCTGGGAACCTGCCAAGCAGAGAATGAGCAGGAATTTGCTGCTATCAGCGCCCTCCGAAGGTGAGAGTGGAAACATGCAGAATATCGCTTTAAATTTGATCTAACCATCTATTATTTTTGTTTGAATCAGAAGCCAATCAAATAAACTGAGACAGCTGTGTTTTATTTTTTTTAATCTACTTTTCTTTTTTATTATTATTATTTTTTATTTATTTTATTATTATATATATTTTTATTATCTTACCTTTCCTTTTAAATGATCAAGATTTGACTGTTTAATAAACAGCTGACCATTCATATAAAAATCAAATCATGCCCTCTGAGGCCTGGTCTGCCTTTTCTTTTGAACTGTACTGTTTAGATTAAGATTATGATAGAATTACTTATTACTAATATGAAATTATTATTATTATTTTTTTTTTTGCTGATCAACTTGAAAAACAGTATTAGTCTACAGCAATTTACCAACGTTTTAAAGATGACATATACTTCTCTAGTTTTATAAAAGGAGCAAAAAGGCTGCTAGGCAGATTATTTCTATCATTTATATCGGAAAGTTTAGATGCACGTTGATATATACCAAAGTTTGTTTTTGGCTGATATAGGGATATCCCTAGTTAAGGTAACAGAACGAGGAATGTGGACCAAACCAGACCATGAACTTTATGAAAATTCGGATTGGTTGCCGTCTTACCTCTGGGACAATTTCACCTAAAGTCCCATGTGTAATAGGAATTCAGAAAAAGTGAAAGTTAGTATTATTAAAACAGCTTTAAACTGCTTAGATATTTTAAGTTTGTTTCACAGGTTGTGCTGTTGCTCATATTAATATAGGCTGTAAAGTTGAGAATATTGAAATTGGGCAAAAAAATTAAGGGAGTCAATTGGCCCCAGAAAAAGTCTCTTAAAGCATTTGAAACAATCGGAGTTAAAGCTCCATCATTATTAAGGCATCTGAATTAAAAGAGTACTTGTTGATTTTTAGACATGTCATTACGGTAGCTAAGGACTGAGTGATGATCTGTGACAGTTCCTGTTAACTTTTTTCCTCGCCGTTTTGTTTCTCTTTGTAAACAGATGTATAGACCTGAAGAAGGACAACCTGACTGCCCTTATGGCTTTGGCTGTCAGTTTCACTAATGAATCGCTGCACAGGCAGGCCTGTGAGACGTTACGGGACTGGCTGAAGCACAATCCAAAATATCAGTCTGTGTGGGAGCAGTACGAGCGGGATCGCCAAAGGGATGGCGGTCAGGAGAGAGAAAAAGAAAAGGAAAGGTTTGGATCCTTGTTGCCTGAGTGAGTATGACCCACAACAGATGTTTAACTCTGTCTAACAGCAAAGAGGTGACTCTTCCTTAATCTCATTTCTTTGGTGTCTATGTTTCCCTGCACAGATCATTGTTCACTGATGTCCAGAATCTGTTCCTATGTGCAGCCAACTCTGACCCTTCTCAGGTGGACCCCCAATTGCAGTGTGGTCTGGGAGTTCTTTTCAACCTGAGCGGAGAGTACGACAAAGCGGTGGATTGTTTCAGTGCTGCTCTCTCTGTCACTCCTCAGGTTAGTATTAACGTTAGCGATGAGATGCTGTATGCAAAGTCTCCTTCTAAAGACTCCTTATCCCCCCTTTTTATTTTATGGTATTAAAAGGATTACCTGTTGTGGAACAAGTTGGGTGCTACACTAGCCAATGGTAGCCGCTCAGAGGAGGCAGTGGCCGCCTACAGGAGAGCTTTGGAACTGCAGCCGGGTTTTGTCCGCAGTCGCTATAACTTGGGAATCAGCTGCGTTAATTTAGGCGCTCACAGGTAAGGAAATGTCTTTTTAGGAAACATATTTCTGGTAATAATACAACATTTGTAAAATTTATCACACATCTCTCGGCAAGGAAAACTGCAAAGACTTGCAGGGTGAATTTACATTCCCATTTTCTGCCTCATTTAAAATTCTGTTTATGGATTTTTTTTTTTTTATTGTGTGATAAGCGGTTTGTTTATAAGAGATATAGACCAAAAATATTTTATGTTTTTTTTCTCTTTGAAACTAAATCATCTAAATTTGGTTATTAGTTTATAAAACAAGCATACATTCCCATTTAGAGATTACGATGTATTACAGCAAACAGAAATTAGTACCATAAACCATACTGATTATACAGTTTGCCATATTTAAGCCA